CAACCAAAATATATCACTCAAAAATAATGAAAAGCCATGAATATTCCGTTCTGATGTAAGTATCTGCTTGAATGCAATATTACAGACGTACGTCTAATTATGAGCAACGCCCGCTGTATAGTATTATTTGGTGTCAACCCCCCCACCCCCAAACAATTTTCAAATTTCCACAGCTGGGCAAGTCATCACTCACAGTTCCCTATCCCCATCACCCAATTTCAAGCACAAATTTACGCCACGGATTATAAAAACTTTCATCTAGTTCACGTTTGTAGCTACATACATTGTTCACAAAAAAGGAAAGGTTAATGATGTTTATCTACTGGAAAACGACTCAATTGAGTCACTGCCAGCAAATGACTTGACTCTCGTCCTTCGTCAGAAGACCTGACTCGAGTGAATGATAAAAGGATTCGAGTCACAAAAATAAAAACAAACTTCTTCGAGAAAACAGAATTTGCCATGACTTATGCCAGCTTATAATGATCATGTCATATGTTATCATCAAGAGTAAGATTTTGTGTGATCATTTTACAGCCGGATGTGGATTTTTAGGCGGCCCCTGGTGATGGGGTGATAGGTCCATCCTCCAGTATTGGATGATGAGGCATCAAGAATATTCCCCCAAGGATGAGTCGGACAGCGGATATGCTATCAAGCATTAACTCTAATTGATTCATCGGTCTCATTTCAGCACTTGGGTTTGCACCTCAAAACAAACCCTGTATGTAAAGCAATTATATAACTATTTAAACTAAAGAACATAGTCACACAGTAATTATTATTCTCAGAGTTACAAAAGTGTTCTTGCAAAACAAGCAATTGAAATATAACTTATGCATTTTAATAAATTACCCCGGTGTGGTAGCTCAGAAACTGATGAGTTCTAGAGCTCAACATCAATCACGGACCCTGAAGGGAACGACATTTTTTAAGAGTACGCGCTAAATTTTTCCCTAGAAACTTCTTGACTTTGGGTAACTTCATTGCTTCTGTGTCATACGTTTTCTCTGCGCCATCTCTGGTGACGTATATACAAATGAAGTAGTAACATCAGTATGGCTAGACTGTGTGTACAGACAAATAGACCTATGTAGACGAACGCATACGTCTTCCACTTAATCTTGGCCGAAGACTGGCTTTGGATGATTTCTTTTAAGGGTGCACTCCTATAAGTAAATTCCCATAGACATCATTGATAAATCCCTATACTTTAAATTACTTTTAAAATATTCACAACTCTCACAGGTTTCCAGGCTGGACAGAAAAATGATGTTCGACTCTTTAATTCTCCTTTTCAATTCTTAGTGGGTTGTCCAATGAATTTGAAAGTAATTCTCACCCAAAGCGGACCACCCCACAAATGAAGAAATTTTCCCTGCCCAGAAAAGTAGCCATTTTAAAAATTCACTCATGCAAAACGTTTAAATAGTGCCACTTCAGACCTGTCAGCATCCAAATTTTCTGGGCCAGAGGTTCAGTGCCATATTCTTGCAATTCCCAAATTCCATTGCTCTTAGGACTCTCAAAAATAGAATATTTTGAGTGCATGAGCTCGGCGGACATATTTCTGGCCTGCTTACATGCGTGCACCCCACTAGTTACGTGCACAAATATCCGTGTGCATGTGACTTAACTAGATATTGATAGAGGGCGCTATCGCGAACATTTTTTAGCTACCAGACCTAAACACCTACAGACCAACAGCGCCAACTGAAATCAACTCATAAAGATGAAATCATGAGCTGAAGTCAACCAACATTTAACAAGAGTCTTTAAAGCAATGTAGGAATGAATGATATAAATTATAAATGTTGGATGATAACAAGAGGAGGCCAACGGCAAATACTTGGAAGCATTTATTCCACTAAAATGTGCTTTTATTCGATAATCTTCGAAACATTAAGTTGTTCTCGACAGGGAAAACAATTCAACTCTTCGTTGACAATAGTTCCCATTTCGGTCTAATTTATCAAATTGTAGGTTCTACATGTCGCCACAAATTTGGTTAGTACAGCAGGGTATTAAACGACCTTGTAAAATGTGCATTTTTTGGTACCCATAGTTCGGCTTTAATTTGTATGTCTGATATATGGTCGTGGTTCCCCTAATCTGACCATGAGAATTTGAAGCCCTTAAAGAGGTTTAGTTGCACGCTCAACGTGAATGCGAACGCGAAAAAAGTATGGACTATTGCTGACGTCATTGCTTCGTACGTTTTGTCTCTTACGTATGGATAGTTCGCACGAACATTCAGTACGTGAAACATGGGATGTTGACATTGGATCAAGACGTGCGAATTTGCAACTTTTTTGGAAGGTTTAAAATTATGCATTGAACATTCGCTGATATGACATGGACATTTTTCGAAAGCGCGAAGGTAATACAACGGCTATTTTTAATGCTTGGTTTATGATGATCAATTTATACTTCTTTTTAGAAATTTACTGGATGTGATTGATCATTTCTCCTTTTATTCGAGTGTTCATAGACGATGCTCATTTTGTGCGTGACGTGCATCTAAACTTTTAAACAGGCATTTGACACACGAATACGCCTGCGTAATACATGCATCTAAACCTCCCTAACTACTGCAGTTGTTTAACGCTAGTTGACAGATGGTACACGCGTGTTACATGCCTCTTCGACCAATAGGGTGTCTGGATCCACCATATTCACGCTCGACTTAAATTTAAAATTGCGCGTCAATTTAGTGCCATCACAGTAATGGCGGCTCCTAAAGTAGTATCCACAGAGAAAAGAAAGAGGTATGGTACAGGATAGAAGGGGAATAGACCGATCCATTAAGCCCCGCCCTGTTGTGTCCTGACCAATCACGGACATGAATCTCGGAGCCTTGCGTGGCATTGGGGAAAAAGCCATGCGCTCAATGGCCGGGGCTTACCCGATCGGTCTATTCTGAGGCCACCAGCGGATGGACTGAATTTTTAGTTTGATGTATTCTATGTATAATGTATGGTTGTGTGTCAAGCTCATAGATCTCGTATAGTTATATTTATTTATAGGACAGTGAATACAAGTTATCCTCTTTGGGATGACATCCCCCCAGTTGCACCACCCTTTTGCCTCTCCCTCCGCCAAGAAACATCTGTTTCACGAAGTTAACTTTAAAAATTCTCTGACTTAGTTTTAAGATACATAATTTTGTCTTCTTCCTTTAACCTCAACAGTCATCAATCCTCCGATTTCATTATGATTTTACGTACACACTAAGGGGTCAAGGAGTTAACGCTGTATAAATAGGATTTGTTCATGGCTGGGTATAAATAAATGTTGCTTCAAACAAAAGAGGCTGCTGGTGTGCAGTTTCGTTTCCTTCTTTCCTTTTTAACACTTCCTGAAACAACATGCAACTAAACGAGGAAATGAACTTCTAAATTAAGTTTAATAAACGGCTGCTGCATGTGATTAAGATACCAATCAAGTATAAAGTGCAAAATTGTGTTGAAATTGTACAAATAAACGACAAAACGAGATTAACTTCACTTAAATGAACTTAACATCAAAATGTATAAGTCACTACTAGGTCTTATAGATATGGCTACATAAGTTGTAATTTACACTGTAACTGCTCTCTTTAAGTTAGCAAACTAACTAAATCCTTTTTACTTACCATTTGGTTTTTATAACCAAAGATATCCGATAACATACGTATAGCCCTGCCTGCTAAAAACATGAGTGAGTTTGGGGAAGATTAATAGAGACGTTTGGATACTGAGACAATAAGTCTGTTTTATAATAAACTGACGTACAGTTCATTGCAGCAACACGGGAAAGAAACCTCGCAAACTATAGGCTACGCTTTAAAATTGAGCTGACGGAATGGATACAAGTGCTCGCATTCATTTTTTCATCATTTATAATTATGTACAATATTCAATCAAATGTAGTGCTAAATGGTAACCAGCCCTATATAACCTGCCTTTTCGAGTTCCAAGTTTACGTCCTAGTCAGGGTAAATCCAACTTATCCCGATCGTCTATAAATCCACGCCATTACATAGACGGAATACCATTCGAAAGTGAGACATTTACCGGTACGGTATACCATGCTACAGAATCCTACTTCCCCAAACAGCGATGCAGATAACTCCTGGGAATTGCCATAATATTCTAAAGGATAAATTTTCTTGTTGACAAACGTGTAATGTCAGGTATAAAACAGCACCGTGTTGCCCTTCCATTTCTCCCTGTATCATATACAGAAAGTTATGATGCAAATATTTGTAGAATTTAACATACATGGTATTCACTTCACGTGAAACATAACTTAAATTTGTTTTAAACATGAAAAGAAATCCTGTAGTAGGTTTTGCCGTTATACCGACGGTTTTCTTCACATTACATTCCCAGTGTGGTCTATGACGTCTGCACCATTACTTAGGAATTCGTGGGTCTGAATCTCTTCAGCTTGTGATTTCTCTGCAACTCTCAAACCATACTAAGGATACAGTGCACATGTCAAGATAAGGGCAAAACCTAGCATACATTTTACATTTCCTGCGCAAAGTTAACTTAATATCTTTGATTAACAATAAAGTAGCTAAGCACCTACCGACTTAACATGACGGGCAAAGGCATTTCAGACAGCATACCATGTCCTTCTCTTTTTTATTAATTTTTAGATTTTGTTCATTTTCTTGAAAAAACTTATAGAGAATCTAAAATTACCATACAAAATTTAAGTAAAACAAAAACCATCCTCATCAAAATAAGCTGTTTGATTCTAAACAGCAAGACACAAGAAAACCTCTGGTCCATCCGAGGACGACCAAAAGAACTATATATACATGCAATTTGATCACGCAACTACAGTACATTAGTTCAGCGGCGTAGCCAGGATTCTGGGCATGGGAGCGAGCGGGGGACTTCACGCTAAAGTGGGGGGAATGACTGGATGTCGGATATATACATGTTTCTAATCAAGATTGGGATAGTGGAAGGGGGGCGACAGATGTTGCATGGGGGGGTGCGCCCCCACGCCCCCCCCCCGCCATACCGCTGCATTAGTTACTCTGAGCAGTAATGTTCTAAACTAATTGCCCAATTTTAGGGTTACTCAACAAGAAATCCAGTAATGATGACTAATTTAACAGTGTGTACAAATTCATGCATACGATATGGTTTGTTCTTTTTAAATTCCTTCAAGTTACATGTACATGTACTACAATACAATTGCCTTTATGTTAAATTGTAAGTTAAATCACCATTAGCTCATGTAAGTGCAATTGTAGGGAAACCCTTCTCTTGCATATTTTTAATCAAGTACTAACTCTACTGAAGTTAAGCCATTTTTTGCTTCTTCTCGGTAATATGCATTTATCTTTAGGTAGAAATTTGCACTCTAATTTACTTCGTGCGTAGTGTGATCGGTAGCTTCACTGTTCACATCCAAAATCTTGAATATAAGAGTTTAAAAACGACATCAGAGTCAAGGAGCGTCTGATATCCAACCAAGTGTAACTCTTAAATTTCATGCTTCAGCCTTCATTACAGATGCTGATGGATTTATAAAATGTCATTGTCCACGGGTAACATTTTTCGCGATCATGTAAATAGCTGATTCGTTAATATTTATTCAACTCGTATAAGTTGTGAAAAGGTTTATTATACTGGACCGATTTGTAACGCCTAGCACTGCAAAAATAGTGTAAAAAGTTTTCCAGAGTTGTTCAAGGTCTCGTTGGTTATTGTCATTACTGACGCCTGGTCAAAAGCTCAGCATGCAGTGCTACACACTTGATACAGCCTGATTGCTGTATATTTGCTGATACTCAGGAATCATTGGTATCCACTACAGTCATGAAGTTCAAGGCCGATACTACAACTGGTCACCTTAGATCAAAGACAGTCTTCAACTGCTGAAGACTCAGATGTGGGCGGTTCGAGGGTGAAATAAAAAGGTGACTCATCTGATTGCAGATCGGTCTGAGGTTCGACGCTTAGGATCTGATCTCCCACACTCAAACGTTGTTCAAACGCTTTGAGTTCGCAATCCACCCCAGCAAAGTCAGCGGGGCAACCCATCACTGGTCCTTCTGAATCCACAACGGTTGGAAACGAGGGGAAGTCGACGTGTACGTCTGCTGTGGTCTGTGGTGTGCTCCGTAACTCATCTTGAATGTCGTTGACCACTTTATGGTCAATGTCACCACTGGAACCTCCTGGAAATTGCTCAGAGAAAGAGCTGCCAATTTCAGGAGGAAGGGGTGTCGATGGGATTCCCGTCTTAGGAGTGTCGGTATCAAGACAATCACTTAACGATTTAACATCTTCTGCCTCAGCAAGATTTCCAGGGACTAAAATTGACGGTGCCAAACCCAGATTGTCGGCAGGGGGGATCTGTGAGTTTGAATTCAGTTGCAGTGCTGTGCCTGGCCTGTCGACATCGACATATTCACCAGGTGATTTACCACAGAAAGACGAGGGAGGAATTGGCGAGACTCTCGTTAGTTTGTCGACATCCATATAATCCCTGGTAGATTCGTCCTGTGATTTGTCGGGAATGATAGATGTAACCTTAACATCCCAGCTAGCACCGATTCTAGCTCCTGCTCCGTCGACCTCACTCAGCTCCTCGTAAGGTTCCACGTAATCGTCATCTTCACATACACGTGGCAGCGGGAGGTCTTCTCGTCTTAGCTTGTTACCGCCCGCTGCACCTAGATTTATAGTCACGTTCTCTCTCTTAGAGTTATACTCCACATATCCATCTTCAGTCTTCCGGATCGGGGCAGGTGGCGGTGGTGTGACAGGGACAAAACTCCGACCGTCGTGACTCAATCCACGGATACCAATGGCTATCTCTTCCTCGTAGGTCTGGTTCGTAAAGACAGCTGAAAAACAAAAACACAGTTACGAATTTGCAAAATCTTTTAAGGTGAAGTTCTGGAGGGTTTCATAATCAACTATTATCAATTGTCCAAGTGCATCACAGGGTCCGGTTTTAGTTAAGTTGACTAGTAAACAAAATGTTAGTGTTTTCCTCAGATGATGTCAAACAATCAAGGCCTTAGCAAGTGTGCCAAAGACCCTATTGTGCAACAATGCAGCATGGGCTGTACACTGCCTTATGCAGCAGCACCAATTTCATAGTGTCTGGGTAGGAGTGGAGTGTAACCCTTTATTATGATTCTACAAACTGTTTGAAGTTCTACTGCAAGATTCTGGCTTTCCTTAAGTCGGGAATTCAGAGGGCTACAGAGGCATTAAATTTTTCAAACTGCTCTTGTGAGTGGGATGGTGCACCGCTTGGATGCTAACCTCACCCATTGATCCCTGGTAACAAAAGAGGGCGTACCACTTGCATGTATATGACGTAAAGTTGACTTAATCGAGCCATCAAAACATTTAAACTTTCAAAGAGAGGCTCTGGAGGCATTTGTGGGTAAAGTGTTTAATATAGATTACCTTAACATCTGTATATGTTTTGAGACCAAGGGAGTTCACGCAACATAACATTGAAAATAATGATGGATGACAATAATTTGAGTGACATTGCTTATATTCAAATTACCTCCTCTGGTATGACTCTTGACCTTTGACTTGTGCACTGGAGATCCACGTTCAGAGACTCCCATGTATCCTTCATCTTCCCAATTTATGCTGCAAGCAAAAGAGAATAATTATGATTGGTTAAGTGATATAAGAAGTTGAATATTACTAAGAAAAATAATCATTCCAGAACTTCAGGAGTTCATATGGAAAGCGTCGTTGGTTTTGTGTCCCTTCGAGGCCTGACCCTTTTGTTCCCAATCTTTTGTTCATTGTCTAGCTGCATCTTGCGTGCCGTCACATTGGTGTCCTTACAATATGAACGACAGATTGAAAAACTGTGGATCATTTATAGTGAAATAAAACGTAGTTACTGAGGAACAGAATTCAACTAAACAAACAAAAAATCATTATTTTCCTGATCTCAGTATAATGAAACCTTTGTGACAAAAAGTGTTCCCGCGAGAGAAAATTTATAAAATACTCATTTTAAAACTAATGATAAAATAACACTATGTCATTTCTAGATAGCAAACACTGCATTTATATGTCGCTGATATAACTGAGATATGGATTATCATGAAGTCGTTATCTGAATAAATTGTATTTGTTCCTAACGATGATGTAAGAAACTAATGTGAGAATAGACATTTGATTTCGATGGATGGTATTTTGTCTCACCCTCGATGGAGGGGTCGTTCCTGCATTCGACGTCGACACACCACGACCAGAATAGTGCAAGCCATCACAAAGATTCCAACTGCAATGACCAATGCGCCAATAATCAAAACCGTAGTCACTGGTAAGCTGTCTGGAATGCCTGTGGTTGCTGGAATTAAGATAAGAATAATGATATTTTAAGATCCGCCCAGGCATTTGTGAGTTTTTTGGGGGAAAATCCACTGAGTCCAAAGTCTTCAGATAACAGAGGGTCATGTATTATCATAAGTGAAGCACTGGAATCAACTGGTCAATTTCAGCCAGCCAAATATTGGTTTAGGAACTAATCAACTCATCATTCTGATGATTCTGAAAATAACCTGCAGTACTCCCCACATTATGAGTTGTCTTGGCATTCATCACCTCTGCACTTGCATTCATCGGGGTAGTCGATCTAGGTGATGGGATCAAAGCAAACCATCAATTGAAAGGTTGAGGTAGCCAGATACGGAATAATTATGACGTTATCAATTGGACGTCAGCCCTGATGAGTGAAATATGCAGCAGAGCGAATCAACAAAGGACACTAGATTTATGCACAGCCTTTTAAGGGAGTGGATTTTTCCCGTATATTTTTTGAGAAAAAAATCCTGTACTTGCATTTTGCAGTGCATTGCTTAATCGTCCAATCTTTTGTGAGATGGAGCATCGTTGTCAGAAGCTAACTTAGTATTTGGAGGTAACAAAGGATCTGTCCCATGCAATAAACTATAAAACTGTACCTATCTTAGATACTAACATTTCTGATTTGGTTTTGTGTTTGTGACTCTTAGGAAAGTTCGAGAATACCTTCCAACACATATTCAAGCCACTATAACATAACTAAAAAGATGCGAGTAATTCCAAATTGCACTGGTCACTATCAACAACATGAAACACACTCTGCATGAAGATGTCTATATCAAGTCCGTGTAGAAATGTACAGAAAAAATATCAGCATCTTCGCGAGATAGTATTTGGCCTTCGGTGATCCGCTTCACGCCTTATTCATAAAAGTGGTGTAGCTAGGATTTTACTAATGGAGGGTACAAGGGGGCACCAGCTTTCAGTGGTGTGGTTTTGGGGGGGAAGCTTTCGTTAGTCTTGTTCAATATCCATTCATCCGTTTTCTTAGTGGGGGGGGCACCGGGAAAGGGGGGGGGGCGTGCCCTCAGACCCAACTGGCTACACCACTGATTTATGATACTTGATTTCTATTCACTTTTGAATCAGGAAAGCCAAGATGTGTCACGTTCACTCGAAAGGGAAATCACGTGTAAAACAGCGTAACCAACAACAGAATGTAAGTTTGATTAGCAGTTTGTAGGCTAGCAACGAAAGAAATAAGTGCAGCGTGACTGTACTTGCCTTTGTTGTATTGTTGAAATTGTTGTGGATTGTGTACTCCGATCTGACCGTGAAAAGGTTGAGATTGTGGGAGCCAACATGCTTACACTATCAGATGTCATCGGATGTCCATCGACCATGGGCGTTGCAGTGGAGTTGGTAATTTCCCCTGGAGATGTGGCTTCAGATTGACTATTACTGCCAAGGTCAAAGGGATCTACCTTTTTGTGTTGTAATTATTTGATTTATAGGTGTAACTTTCAGCATAGCCTTCAGCATTTTTGCCGTCATCAATTCTTGAATGACAATCATATTTAGCTATTGTCAAAATCTCACTATTTCAACTTGTATGGTTAAAATTGGAATATTATTCATTTTCTGTCCTCTGAGCACATGACACAAAGGTGTCGGGTTGTGCTTTCTGATGGTCCTTTACGCATAGCTTAATTCCAGCTATCTCGTTTTAGGTTAACATTTTGAAGAGTGGTAGAGACTTTAGAGAGGCATCTTATCATTACAACTTTATTTCAGAACATTGCAGAAGCAAACATAAATCGGAATTCTAACCTGCAGTCACACGAATGTTGGTCAAACACGGGACAGGTAGATTCACTTAAATTTTTTTTCAAGATGGGCTGGTAACAGGTAAGAAGCTCGTTATTCTGGCTGGCATTCATGACGGATGAGTTCGCGCAAAGCAGATTCGCTAAAGTCAAGAGAGGATTATCAGAGGTACTTACAAAGTTAGTGAACTCAGATAAGACCAGTCCTAGGCCTAAAAGTGTCAAAGTGATTTTGATTTGAAACAAAACTGATAGTCATAATCATGAAGTTTTAAGTTGTGAGGTCGACAATTGGCATTTTTAAATTTACGACGGATAGTTAGCATTCAATTGAGGAATTCAGAATACCAGTCATCTGTTAGCATGATGATTTACAAGTATGTGTCCTTATTACAATGTTAATAAAAGTGACAATAAAGTAGACGAAGGAGTATTTAACCAAGCTTACTTCTGCAAAGAGCACATCTTTCCACTGAAGCTACACATTCATTCCTGAAATGCAATAACGACATTGGGAAGTCACTCAACTGATTGAGGGAGTACACTGGCTTAATTGGTCCCCGGGCGAGTTATGCGTAGACAAATGTTACCCACCCACTATCATGGCCTTGCAAGAGACCATTCTTAACTTCCTAATTATGTAATGAACTTTTAAAATAAAGCAAAATTCACACATACTTTCTAAAAATCTCAACTATGTACAAACGTTGGTATCTCTTTGTAGCGACAGCGCCGACATGCCGGTGGGGGCGCTGGTGTGGCTCCATGGGGTTGTGCCGGTCCCTGCCGGTTGGCTTTGGGCCAACCCCTGCTGCGCTGGCACAGTAGCCTTTTGGTGATTCTCCATTACCTCATTTTCCCGCTAGTCTGGTAGACATGTTTTGGTGTGATTCGTTCTAGTGCGATTGAAGAGGAGATCCAGATTTGCCTGCACTTTGTTTAAAAACTCCGTGCGTGTTCACCGGTTTTTGGGGTGTAATACAGGCCACAGCCACTGGACCCGAGGACAAGCGTTTGTGCCTTTTTCAGACGTGTACGAAAATCACACAAGCGGCGACTTTACAATATGGAAAAGAGTAGGGGATGGCCTTGCTGAGGCTGATAATAAAACTCACCCCCCCCCATAAAAAATCGTATTCACGGAGCAATCTTCTTGAAATAAGCCTGAAAAAACTGTTAGCAAAAAGTATAATACCGACCGATCAATCCTTAAACATTGCTTGCACAGACAGGTTTCCTTTATTTTCTTAACCACAGAAACACTTCTCTCAAGAATACAGGTCCGTAAAAAAAAATGAAATTCATGGATGGCGGCCGAACTCCACTCCACTTCCTCCCTCCACTACTCAACCAAACTTAAAATGTAGAGGCGACGTGTGATTAGGGCCTATGCCCTTTCCACATGCACACCACACTGATTCATGATGTCACTGTCAGATGTTTGTAGGTCAGATATCTGCACATTTGCGGTCTAGCAGAATTCAATCATCAAAGGGCAATTTACGATTGCAGTGCTGGTTATGTCTTTGATGTCTTGTGTGGAAACAGGGCTAGATTGTAGTTACCATGACAAGTGAGTGTCATAAACCATGTATAAGATTGAATTTACACAACCTACGTACAAATTGCAGTTCGTTGGCCTTCGGTGACTCCAGAAAACAGCTGATAACAGCTGATAAATATAGATTAGCGAAATCTAGCCACTTTTGACTCTGCCGTCTGTCTGCATCGAGTCGTAGGAGCAGTCCCATAGGAAATGTGCACACTGTTAGCACCTACACTCACTTGACACGCTTCATTGCCAGGCTTTTTGTCAGATGTTTGTTTACTAAAAAGTTAAACAACAGATGCTTCGAAACTTTGGATCGAAGCCTTCCTCCACGCATAAGTCATAAAACGGCATAAAAAATCCGTAACATTGTCCCCGATTTCCCGGCTTTATGTCTCTTTGTGAGCACAGCAACAAATTACTTACGTAACTCTTAGCGACATTTGTGAAAATTTTCGAGTTACTATCTCGCCGCAGCGAGTTATGAGATCTTGCCGCAGCGAATGTTTCAATGGTTTAATAAGTCCTATTCAATGTGCCGTTTTAAAATGTGTCTTTGGGGAAATGCAGTGAGATTTGGTTTTAGATTGCTAATTGGAACAAAAGGGGAGGTTACATTTCATACAAGCTTGATTTACAACACAAAAGAAAACAAAAGAAATCTCTTTTTGGGGTATGAATTTTCATATCTGCAAGTGGGGTAGACTACTATACACTTTGAATCCGTGACAGACTGCCTGTTTTTGTGCACAGCGTGTTTATCATCTTATTCTATTTATAGAAACTAAAAAGGGAAAAATCTCCATCAATCAATTCCTTTAGTTCATTGTTTTGCTTAAAATATGGAGGGGACATTCGACATTGTGTCTTCCCCCCGTACCAAATTCTTGGTGGGGGATGTCCCCCCCTGGATTTCCGCCCATGCCTGTTGAAAGAATTACGGTGCCTTTTCATTTATAGTTTAAATAATCTATTTGCATAAGCGAGGCAAGCGGGACCCTGAAAAAACAAAGAAACAAAAGAAAACGGCCAAAGATATGAAAATTAGAAATGAAATAGAACATAATTATTAGCTTGAAATAAAAAGAAAGAGAATCTAACCTTTTCCAGCAGTTAAATGTTATCGTTTTAACTAGACGGTTGGCCCCACCCCCCCCAAAAAAAAACAATTCTGGCGACGCCCGTGCATATTTTTAGCCGAAGTGTGCTGCCATTTCGGAACAAACCTCGATGCTGATATCATTCTAATATTAAAATATGCTATGATTTAGGAGATTCCAGCAGGCAAAAAGAAATAGGAAGTGAAGGTGAAAGGAAAACTAACACACACTTTTTCATCAAATGGATTGAAATCCCCAGGCTCTTTGACCTCACAATCCATGCGTTCAGTTGTCACAAACCACCCATACAGCACAGGGCGCTGGGAAGGGCAAATACGTAGGTACGTTTTTTTTGTCGAGAATGTATTGGATGGAGTTTATTTAACATCTGAACACCGGTCAACACTTATGGCTCGGTGTACATGACACGTGTGCACTTACATAAAATTTTAATAACAGTTCTATAAATTAATAAATTTCGACCGATGAAAGTTCAAAATTTAGTAATAACTTTCAAGTCCACTTGCTTGTGTTTGGCACTAGGAAAATGTAGAAAGGACTTAAACCAGTTTACCCCTCATCTGAATGTGGAAATTCACACTACAAAATAAGATTTCGTTGTCTTTGTGTTAGAAAACAAGCTTTGTTGAAATGTAACATCCATTTTTGTTCAAATTAGCAGTCTAAAACCAAATCTCAATGCTTTTCATCCCAAAGATACATTTGAAAACAGTGCGCTGAGTAGAACTTATGGCACTATTGAAATATTCAATGCGGTGGGATATCAATTTGACGCCGCGGCAAGATCGCTGCACATTTCAACGATGACAATAACTCCCGCTGCGAGATGGCGAGTTGCCGCGGCGAGTAAGTAACCCGGCTGCGGTGAGATCGTATCTCGAATTTTTTTTGGCAAGTGGCCCTTATACGCTTCCGTAAGTGAAGTCTCATTCGTGATTTTTTTTTTATTTGAATGGGAATGAAAATAGCTGTTGACCACCTCAGGCTAAGGCACCTCAAAAGTCAGCCTTAACTCGTCTGCATGGCTGTGACGGTCAAGGTACTTCAACAGTCACAACTTTAATGTATAATATTGTTTACATCTGTATGGTCGTAATAAACGTACATTTGATTTTGCGTTTTAACATTCAATAGTCGGCACCCATGCATGATCAAACCATACGCCTTTATGAACACCTGTCACACTATCCATTAAAATGGTAATAGACGTTTGATGAACAACTTACATGGCTTCCAAAGACACAAAGCCACAGAGAGGGCGGCCCATTTTTGATGACTCTGAAATTGAATTTACGCAAACGTTCAACCGCCGTCTCGTGTCGTGTGAGCACATCGAAACGGTAAATTCCGAACAGATGGTTGGTTTTACTGGAGCAAGAAGGAACAGAAGAAATACAAAGACTATACTTGAATAAAGAATATATTTGTGCAAGACTCTTTAAAACTATATTTGAAGGGTCTACTCACATAATCATAGTTTTAAAGAGTACAAGTTCCCCTGTCAATTCCAAATATCTTACCCAATAGAGTAAGAGCACTATGAACTAGTTCTTACCGTTAGCTTGGACCTTCACTTTGCAAGTCGTTTGATTATCCTGCTTGCAAGACACACAAGCACTGTAAGAAATAAAATATCTGTATGCATTGAGTGTCTCGACAACCAATATCCTTATTTGTGTGGGCTTTAGGAGTCCGTTTATTCTACACTTATTTATTGTTATACATATATTGTTATACAACTGACGTTTGTTTGTTTGTTAAATACTTCGTCCAGATCCATATATAGGTTTTTTTTCCTTGCAATTGGCCCGTAGAAGCTATTGACATGGCATGGTGACAATTAAACTTCTTTTAATCTCTTAGTAAGTACTTCTGTTACTGATCACAGTAAGTTAATGGTTCGACTTAATACCTTTTGACAATTTATTGCCGATTGAAACTATTCCAAACAAAGGTGAACTTCAACTTACATTAATTAAGCAATTTTAAAAGGGATAATTTTCTACTTGTTGAAGCTTTTATCATTTTTTATTTTAAGAATCAGTGCTCTTGATGTATAAACGAAATAGCATTTTAAAACGTGGAGTTACCTACTTTCTTGGTCTTCCGCCATAGGACGAATACTTCAGCACTGCCAGGCTTAAACAAATTCTCAGCTATAAAAGCAGCCTTGTGCTATGTGAATCACTTTACCGTGCATGCTCAAATATCTACACATTCTTCATGAATCAGTTTAAGATTTAATCTTTATTCATCTGCCAAGAATATCTGAGCTGTAAGTGCAAAGAAAACGATTATACAGTGACCACCATCAAGGGCGTTAAACCAAGGAGAGTATACATCCCACACTCTTTACCCAGGGTGATGGGCTACTGACTCATCCCCTGCGCACTTTTTCGTGGTGAGAATTAAAAGCAGATTGTTAAAAAATTTTTGAGTTCCCAAAGAACAAATTATACATAAAAATAAATCTAATAGCATTCAAAAAAGGAGAACAATTTTAAATGGTTTTATGCAGTAGTATAATGTATAAGAGAGATGTGCAGTGTCATATAGCGTCAGCATCCCGCTTTCCCGATTTTCGGTACCACAACCCCCCGTCCCCCTAAATCCGGAATTATTATGCCATTGTTCAGCACTGTTGCCATAAAAGACAATCTTGCCTGCTGGTACCATATATCGCACGGATCTTAGTACCATTTAAACCTTGCCATTGTAGGTTTAGTAGTTGAAATTAAGATGATAGGTAGTAAAGAAGACACAATATAGACAAAACCTATTTAATTTGGAAGTTATTTATATGACAAAATTGAAGATGACCGCCATATAAAGAATGTCCTTTATGCCTAGCGTTTGGAACATTAGATCCCTTGATCTTGAAAATGTAAGTTTTGTAACTGAAATCGATATCGTCATTATTAAGAAGCTAAAAGACAGACAAAAAAACTTGTTCAATTAAGACAGCATTTTGGAAAATCCAAGATGGCCACCACTCACTTTTTGAGCAAATAGCAGCATTCATTTTCTAATATGAATTCCAAAAATGTGTAAGTTGATAACCCAAAATCCTTAAACTATATCACATACCATACCACATATTGCAATATCATTATAACAAACACCGCTTTACCTAACATTCAGAAATACTGACACTCACACTAAATACTTAAATTTGCTTGAAATCAAAGTTGAACTCATTTTAACTTATCACCTGCTTGCTTTCGTGTAAGTTTTTACACTGTGTCAGTCTTAACTATACCATAATTCTTTCAGTCCCATTCCTCTGATATTTCACTCATTAAAAAGGGTACAAGTGCAATATAGGAAGGTTTTACTGCAAGCATCTGGGCTTATTAAATCAATGACTCTGTCGCCTGCAGGAAGTGGGTCTCTCGGATCAACGAACTCTTGGTTTAGTGCTTGAAACTTCATCATTATATACGGGAGTACGATTTGTTATTGAAACAGCACATATTCGTATTAAAGCCTATATTTTTCAGTCAGTTGGTGTTAATATGTCAATGTGGACAACAAAGCAATTTCAGATTTTAAATGTCTATTTCAACACTTATCATTCAGTTTGATCACCCAATTTAATCGAATAGCTGTTTTGGAGAAAATAATCAGTGGCGTCCACTGGCGTAAATTTGTGCCGAAAATTTGGGGAATGGGGGTGGTTATTTGTGATGGGATGACTTGTCCGGCCACAGAAACACAAAATGACATTATACAGGGGGAAATGTTCATATTACTGATGTACATCTGTAATATGTAGTACGTTCATGCAGAGTCCTACATAAGAGTAGCATAATTACGCCTTTATTATTATTTTCCCTTTTTGAGTGATTTTTTTAGTCGTTGGTAAGTTTGAAAAGTGTCACAAACCTCCTTGAATATTTTGCTCACCACAAAAAGTGGGAGTGATTCAATTGCCTACTTCCCCCTCCAAAAAAGTGTGAGGGATATATACCCCACACCCTCGGGATTTACGCCCTTGAGGTTTCATCCTCCCAAATTAAAATAAATTCTCGGCTTACCTTAAACAACGCGGTTCGTCTGAGCGATTTCCGTTTTCATCTATACCGCTGATCAAAACAAAAAAGAATGCAGAAACCAAGTAAATGGACTCCATGGTCTTTAGAAGGTGTTCACTTACTACATTAAAATGTTCGATGTGATGCAGATTCCAAATTCTGTGAGACACTTCCGAACCTGCCGATTTGTCTATATAATTATTTCCAGCGCTTCCTTGTTTACTTTTGACGAGGTCCTTTCGTTTTCAGGTTTCAGTAGAATGTTTATGGAGAAAGTAACACTGTTATGAGGATCTGAATACTAGATTCATGTGAATGAAATTCAACATTAGACCAAATTTCAAAACGATCAGAAGAAACAAATAAAACCTGACGAATTTGAAATTTTTCGATTAGATTAAGCTCGAGTTCGAGTTCTTCTAGAAAGCGATTATAATTTGAAACATTATTTTCATTTTGTTCATATTTGTTATACCATACACGTGAAAACATTTCCTTTCAAGACAGCTAATACCCTTTTAAACGATGGAATCATAAAATCCTTGTAATTTTTTAATTTTTGGATTTAGGCCTAAAGTAGCATTTTCTTTTAAAAGCCTCCAGGATTTCCCTCAGGAAAACCAAAATGTCAAACAACCCATTCGAAAATAAAATAATTGTGAGTCCGAAAGTTAAATTTACATTCTTCCAGTTACTTTCCACATCATTTCCAGATAGCATGATTTTTATCGGTACGATCATTATGGACCTGCGTCGTGCGCAGGTATTGCTTTTGTGTACCAAGTCATCTTGAAATTAAAAAAAAAATCAAATTTTGCACTAATCCGGAAGCTAAACGTGTTTTTAATTCGCCTATTGATGCATTCATGTACACGTATAGCTTCAGTGTTAATTGTTTTCATGACCTTTGCATTGAAATGAATCATCTAACCTTCTGTGTACACATTTCTGTAATTTCTGTTTCATACAGATCATATTTTCTTTCGTTGCGTGTTGATTGTACTCAGAAGCCGAGGTTGTTTTCCTCTAAATTTGAAAAATGATCTCATTGGGACTATTTCTTCAAACTTTAATCAATTGCCTGACAGCTGTGATCCTCATCTTGCTTACCATTTGTTGGGCTTGCTAGTCATGCAACAAAACTAATATAATGTTGTCATATCAAGACTAATGATTTGTAAATCAATTGTTTAAAGTGATATTGTTTGATGGCAAGAAACTTACTACAAAAGGAAAATAGTCAATGGCGTATCTTCCCGACCCAACCTACACAAGAAAAATAAGTAGTGAGTATATTGTCAGAATTCCCCTATTTCTCTATTTCTTTTCAGGGACAAGCCTAAGTAGCCTTCATCCATATTAACTACTTTTAATCCGTAACCTTTTTATTTCAACTCGCATGGCTATAGATATCTATACCCCTTGCAAATAACTGCCAGTTTTTTTAAACCCCAATTCAGGCACAGAACAGGTACAAAGCATTGGAGCTCAGACTTCCAAGTAGAATGCCCTTTCTTTTGTATTTATTAGTCAAGTCTTTTTAGATTTACTGTGTAGTTTGTCATGAGGCATCGGTGATTGAAGGAGAGTGTGGGTCAGTGGAATTTATTTTGCATTGAAAAGATGATGGCAATGATATATTACCAGTTTGTGCGCGTGTCAAGACACAGCTTTGTTGATTTTGAGACAGTATTGAAGTGGAAAGTTTGCCGGTGATCGTGGTGATCCTCAGAGCCGGCGCGTTCATGCCTGTTGCTGTCGGAGTTTACTCTGTTTGGAGCAGGTACTTTTTCAGACTGCTGAATGGCTAATCGGTTCCAAGCTAGCCGAGTGGCTTGATCAGCAATTCAAGTTTTGGAACATCTAGAAATCTGTTATTCTTCCTTTTCTTTTATGCCTAAATGTTTTAAGGTGCCGATATTATGATAATGAATTCGCACAGTGGTTATTTCAACTGAATTTCTGGGAGTTTAAAATGCTGAAAAATCTTGTCTGATAGGTTAAATTCAAAAAATTATCTTTGTATATGTGGCCAACTTTTCGTTAAATATTAGATGGCCCGCACTGATGTTTCCCTGTTAAGTCTTGTGGTGGTCACGGAAAAGACTTAACATGACCAATCTTGCATCATGGACCAACGATAGAGGACGCTGATAAACCTTACACAGCCAATTAGCCGTTAGCTGAACGGGCCAGTACTTCACTTCAACAAACTTCAAGATCGCAGTTAACTGTATTTCTTTTTCAATTTTGCATGTATTTGGCTAATTTTGAATCAGACGGTTGTGATTTACGTGACTGATAATATCCCTGGTGTTTTGAGATTGAATCTGATTAGCCAGTTGGCTTTGAATTTCAGGATCTGGATTTTAAACTTCAACTGAGTGATTTCCCCTGTTCGGTATTGATCGAGATGACTGTATTGTAGAAATTGAGAATGGTGCTCTGAAGAGTGGTCGACATTGATGTTGAGAAGAAATTGAGGATGATGTTCTGAAGTTCATTTGAAACTTATGTTGTAGATTTTGAAGTGAAGTTAGTCGACTGTAGACAAGGAGCATTAAGACTATTTATCGATATCAGAGCTTATTTTCATTACATTTTAAAAGTGCTTAACATGAACAGCGATCATTTACCGGTACTCAGGCCGTGTATTTGACAACTGATATTGCTTAATTAATCTGTGATGTACACTCTTGCGAATTTGAATTCTGGAAGCGATAATTAATTTGGATTAATTGGAATTTTAATTAAATTGTCTTTTTAATTGTGTTTAGTTCTCCTTGTAATTATTGGACTATTTGTATTATGGTCTTTCTTTCCAGTCGTTGCTTTAATCAAAGTTTTCTTGCTGTTACATATGTGGTCGGCCACTCCATGTATATGTTTATTTTTCTAAGTATTATCTGGTATACCCTCGTGTACTTTTAAATGTAGTTTATTCGTGCCGGTGTGTTTTACTTATTGCTGTCTTTACAGTAAACGTTTTACGTTTCCTTATGTAATCGTGCCCTGGGTAAACAGTTCAAGGTCTTTTAATGTAAAATCACTGTATTTTATTTTGCTAATAGGATGTTTCGTCATATTAGTTAACTGTGGGTCACTTTTATCACTCACACAGCATTGTACACCTGTTTACACAATACGGGCGATTCACAATAGTGCGCCACCAAGAGTTTGCAACACGCTGGCCAATCAGAACGCGCAAAATTTGTCGACCATTTCCAAACGCGCATTGGGTCGACAAATTTTCGCCCATTCTGATTGGCCAACGCGTCGCAAACTCTTGAAGGCGCGCTATTGTGAAACGGCCCTATTCCGGTTTTTTCATCCATTTTCACCGTTCTCATTTTTTATTTTTGACCCACTGACGCCGACAGAGTGGCGCCGCCACTAGATCTGCAATGTGTTTTCATTTAACAAGCACATTCATACAGAATGATGAATACATCAGTTGTAAAGCATTGGAAATAGTTACTTTGTGTGGAATTAAACAAAAGAATGGGGGTTAAATTAGTACAGCCTATCGACAACACAAAGGATTGAAATAAGGAGGGGTTTTAAGGGGAAAAACATGAACAGTTGTATAAGCAAATAAAACTAAAGTTATTATGCACATTACAAAAGGTAGGCCTACTTCAAGAAGGAGCATTCAAAACTGTTTGAGAAAAAAAAATAGTTTTAGCTATTTACTGTGTGTTCAGTTGAGTATTTATAATTACCAATAAATTGTATGGAGAGAACGCTATCATGAAGAAAACATGAAGACAAAACGAAATCATCTTTAGGCCTAATTTATCACTTCTTGGGTTTAATCTCATGAAAGTATTTATCTCATCTCTTATCAAAGTTCTGCAAATAGGACGCCTTACCCAAAAGCTTTTCAAATCTCCAACTTTGATAAAGTTGTTCAGACACCTTGCCCCAGACGTAGTAATGAAATCTGCAGCCGGAGGCCATTAAAGTTAATGTCAACCCCTTCACGTCTTCTCTGCACACCGATGCCCAAACTAGTTCGTCAAGCGTTAACCATGTCCACAGTCATTTTGAATGAATCTTTCTTTAACAAATAAAATCTTTTGTTGTATTCCCCAGTTGGTAATACCCATAAGACTGTTAGAAAGACTGATAGTAATACTATCTTCTTTTGGTGAGAACCATCTGCAGACGGTTGGTGTTCTTCTGTGGAGGTATAAAAGGAGCCCCTTTTGTTTTTTTTCAATTACCTATAATTATTCTCTCCTGAAATATGGGATTATTGCGAGATTTTTGTACCTGCAACATCCAGATGTCCAAACGGTAAACCAGACGTTGAAAAAAACATGTTTGATCCGGACGGAGAGCCACTTCTGTTATTTGTTAAGTTAATATAGGACTGAGTGTCAAAAGAGTGGAGACCTGGGCTAATAGTCACCACAAAGTTCCCAGCACCTGTTGGGAGACCGTCTAACTATACTTGCTCAGCAGAGCGGTTCGTGTATCACATGCCTGGTCAAGCGTTTCAGCATATGCAGGTCTTGAGTCCGGGGGAGTCCAAAATCGATTTTTTTTAACTCAAAAATTACTTTCTATTTTATTTTCCCTGAAAAGACTCATAGCCCCTCTCCCCTCAAAGACAGGTGGTAGGATTGTTTCCAAAATGCTGCTGCTTTCAACAACTCTTGGGAGGAACGAGGGAGGGTAACTTGGATACGCCCACATGTTTAGGTAACATGGAGCTGACTCTCTGGCTGCATTGAAATCGCTGTGTGAACTTTTAGGTATTTTGAACCAGAAAACCGTATTAAAGACTCCGACAAGTGTACTGGTTTGAAGTTTGATGAACTCCTGCAGTTGATATATTATCAGCATACACAAAAATTAAAGGCAGATAACACTCAGACACATATTTACGTTGTCAGGTAAGGCTCATGATGAAGCAGCAGAACTAAACCCATGATACAAATATTCATCAAGAAGTTTGTAAGTTTCTTAATTTTAGGATTTTAAGCATTAGGCCTAATCAATGTATTTTGACTGAATTATATCGCTAAGTATGTTGTGCATCTACGTGGATATTGAACTTGTTAAATCTTTTCTTTTATAATCGCCCATAGACTCACTGGAAGTCAAGTTGGTAGTAGCCACGTGGCCACATCCTTTTGTTCTCTCCATCGACTGGATTAATACAATCAAGAATGGACCACTTGTAACATTTATTCCCAAAAGAAACAATTTAAAATGATTGAATGATTGAATCTGCAAGAGATTCCGTTGGTTTTCAATGTAGCTCCAAAAACTTAATTTCATTTCGATGAAGGAAAAACTCCCAAGATTTTGTCCACGATACATTTTGACAATGCTTACTTATACGTCCAGATTAGCTATGCCTTTGGGACAAGTCACTAAATTGAGAACATGATACAGATAATGACTTACGTTGGCCAGACGCACGCTAGAAAGGGTCAAGAATGAATAACAGTCCATTGTGCAGAGCAACATCTGTAGTGATGCGCATCTCAAATGTGAACATGAAAGAACTTTTTGGAATCGAAATAAAATGCCCCATTTTGTACAGCGTATAGGGGGCGCTAGATACGTTTAGGGATCCTTTTTGTATGACTTGTTAAAAGAAAACAAACTTATGTTCCCAGGTCAGTTAGAAATTTAGACCTTCGTGTATGATCCATACAGTAACACACTGCAGTTACTCTGTTTTTGTATGATTCTCTATACTTGCAGGGTGCAAGAAAATATTGCAGGTACATCGCGCCAATGTTTAAGCCTTACCCTTCAACCAGTTTGAAATTACCATGTAATGTAAAAGCATATTCCTGGCCTGATAGAGGGTGCGTTTATTTTGCGTTAACTGTTCTGAAGGTCATACTTTTGCCGTTCGTGTTTGAAGGAGTGTACTCTGTGAACATGAGTAGGCCTCTGAGCACACTTGAACACAGCCCAAGAGTAGATATTATTATGCATGGTTCTTGCTGTATTCCCTCAAATTTGTTTCTATTGACGTCAGACGGCCTTTTTTCCTGAACTCAGAAGAGTTCACAAATCCAAACGTTTCAAAATCACTTTGGTACAAAAGGCTTTGTTGTACCTATAATACCCGCCTACTGATTGTGCCTTACCTATTCTAGCCGACTGGTATTTTCCCTTTACGTTCCCCGTCTGGCCTTCACTTGACCCTAATCAGTCAACCATATAGACCTTTGTTGAAACCAGGAATGACACATTCTAGCTGACAACAAAAGCTACAGGTACTCTCCTGCTTTTTTACGTGTTGACATTGCCAAGGGAAAAAAAGCTTGCCATGGTTGGCCCGTTCTGTCCTGTGAAATTAGGCCTGCGATTGAAACGAAATTTAGTAAAACCCGGTATTTATTCCGAATGCTGTGAAAGTTTATGTATCAGGTTATCCAATGTCCAACCATCACACCAATGTAGCCTCATTCCTTGGTTTAAGTTTCAATGCCATGCTAGTATAGATGTCATTGTTTGCCATATGCCAATACTTAGGTTGTTTAGATTTACATGGCTGTTTTGAAACTTCAAATTCGTAATTTGTTTGTGCCTTTGGGATCCTAATGGTTACTATGGGAGTAAATCCCGGGATTTGGGGAATTTATCTCCCCAACTTTTAGAAAAAAATGAAGGCGGATTGTGGACATATTTCTGATTTGCAATAGCACTCAAAAAGGGAGAAGAATTACTCAGTTATACGAACATTTCATTTCTTAACCTGGATTTAATCACACACGTTTTTATTTACAAGTTGTTTGGTTAACACTGGTTTCTAAGTTGGCTGATTTGGTCGTGAATCTGTACCCAAATTATGAAGTCATTAATTTCACTCCCCACGCCCGCTGTTTGTCATACATGCGCGTATCAAGCCAATAATCATCGATTGAATGTAACAGCAGCACACCAGCGTGTTCTTTTATGAAGTTGTCTTAAAAATAATGTGCTTGGAAGCTCGTTAGTTTAAGTTTTGCACCGGCGTCGAATAAGATGCATCTTTCAGAAATAAAACAAATCATACAGGCAGCAAAGCAAGGGATAGGTATTGTAACGGACCAGTAAGCGGTCTAAGGACTTTCACACCAGACAAAGTAGGTTTGGACATAGACATACAAAACACACATAAAGAACTAGAAAAATAAAGCCCAGCAGAGACACAGGATTACGGTTCTATGATTCCTCTCTCTTTGGTTTAATTCTTTTTTTTTCTTGATCATTCCTAGAGTTCCACTCAGGCTTATTCGGAGCCTGGCCACAGAGCGAGACCACACCGTGTTTCCGCGCCAATTTTAAGTCACTGACATTATGTGCACCCCCCCTACTTGAAGTGAGACCTTTGACCCTACATGTCACACTCCCCACAAGAATGACTTTTCAGAAATTATCCCACCACGTGTGCCAAGTAATCTCTCTCTCTCTTACATAATCTATAAGCAGAAAAGTAGAACAGTCCCATAACGAGTCGTTGGTATTTTGTCCTGCAGTTTATATAAAAAGAAACACTCTGGTTTTTATATGAGAAAAGGTAATCTACAACCTAAATCTACAAATAGCAAAAGGAAATCTGCTCTGCTAACAAAACGTCCGAATGTCATTTTTCTTTTGTTTTCTAAACAATTTTGGTATATATGATTTAGTACAACCTAGAGATCTATATTATCTGCGCTAAAAATATCTTTTCATTATACACAATGTTTAATTCGTTGCAATTTGAAATTATAAACTTTCTAACCATTATATTTGAGATACAAATTTATATATATTAAGTAAAAGATACTTATTAATTCTTTATGCAACTGTTTTTGACACCTTTTCTTTTTGATCCCATCTAAGCGTTGATTCTGAACTGAAATCAACTCATCACAAGTTTAAAACCTTTCAAATGGCTCATAAAAAGTGCTGCACCAAATCCTTTGGCTTTGCTATTGTAACATTTCCAACAAATAATTTCTGTTCTTTGAAATGCGATTGACCAGATAACAACTCATCGTCTGATTATGTTTTCAAAAGTGATATATCCACAAAATTCTAATTAGTAGGATTTTACAAACGTAGCATACAAAGATTTTACCGAAATGGAACAAAACAATTTTCGGTTTCATTAAACAAGTGTATTCCACTGAGAATAATCGCATAACACTGAAGTTAAATCGACTAATTAAAGAAATAACCGTCTGGGGGGTCTCTAAGAGGTTGCTTTATAGGTAACATTCATGTTTCAAAAACAAGTCTTTTTTTTAATTGACAGCTCAAGGTAGTTAGAGTATTCATTTTTCGTTAGTTACCGCCGGTATCCTAGGCCGTGGTTTTAGGCCGCTACAGTTAACGATAGAATACGCATTGCCTGGAGGCAGGTCTGTGAGGCTGTATACACCTTCATCGATAGGGATATTATGGCCCAAGCGCCGATCGCCTGAACGATCCAAGGTGCTGTATTCATTGTCCCCTGGTGGGTTAGTAACGCTGTAGACGCCGTCGTCAGTTGGGACATTCTCACTCGGGCGCCGATCACCTGAACGATTGAAGGTGCTGTAATCATTGTGCCCTGGTGGGTTTGTAACGCTGTAGACGCCGTCGTCACTTCCAACATACTTACTCGGGCGTCGATTGCCTGCGCGATTGAAAGTATTGTATTCACTGCCCTCTGGATTATCAGTGAGCTGGTAGATACCGTCATTAATTGGGACATTCAAACTTGGGCGTTGAGAGCGATTAAAGGTGTCGTATGCGTTATCTGTAGGCGCACTCGCCAGACTGTAGCCGCCTTCATCATTATCAGAGGGATTCTCTACTTGGTAGTAGTTGTGATCTTGGCTTTCAGGCAGTTTTGTCGAAGGACCATCCACGCTGACGTACCCACTGCTTCCCATGGGCTGCTTGCTTTGTATCGCTGGTGTACTGACATCACTGAACACAACCGCAGGAGCATCTACGTCAACATAATCGCTACGCCCCTTTTGATCAGAATCCCCAACAGCTGTAGCTGGAGCATCTACGTCCACGTACTCGCTGTCCTTCGTCAGGTTTTTTAGCATGAGTTGCGGATTAGTTGCCTTGGAGACCCCAGCACCAATCCGCTGACCAGCTGGTGGTGCCTTGTTCTCTGGTTGTACATACTCGTTCTCACTGTCATCTTTATCTGGTTTCGAACTGTTGTTTGGGATTAGGGTGTAAACCGCTGGGTCGTCATCACTGTCAGCCTCATTCTGAGTTTTCTTGAGGTCTGTGTACACATCATTTCCACGCTGTGGTTTGTAAGCAGCGTATCCAGTAGCCGGTGTGGGAGTATTCTTGGCTTCGTTGCTATCTTTGGTGCCATGTAGGGCTTTGTGGAGGTCCCTTTTATCCTTGGGCTTGTCAGGAGTGTATCCATTAGACTGAATAGTGGCGTAACACTCTGATTCGCTGGCTGCCTGATCGTTTGGCTGTGTTGATGAGAAAATGGAAATAAATCACTTTACAGCCCAACACCGTAGGGACGCTCATGTTCGACGGAATAGCAATGAAAATTAGAAACAACTTTCAAGGAACAGTAAGCTTTTTAATTTACAGCTACATAATTAACATTATTTCTTTGTTAAAGTGTGATACAGCATACATGCCGCTATTTATATGGAGGAAGCCTCAGGACCGCACCTTTTTGTATTTTAAGTCCATGAAAGGAAAAAAAAACATAAAAGTGCCTAGGAAGAACCCAAGACACTTTCAAGCAAGAACCCTGTACAAAGAGGCTTTTATTTTCTCGATTTCTGGATTATATTGCTTTTAGTAGCTTTTAAAATGTTTCACCTTTATATCAGTGTAGTCATCATCAGGCTGTGGATTTAAAGTCCCTATCGGTCTCCAGGTACTTCCAGTCACGTGATCATCATCATCGTCCAATCCATATGTTGAATTTACTTAACATGAACAGGAAATAATGGACATATAATTATCTCACAGTGCTCGTGCTTTGAACTTACACTTTTAACTTAATCTTTTCCAAAAATAATCAAACTAAATTTTTATAATAGCATTTTCTAGACTTTTTTGTTTTGTGCTTGGAAAAGGATACAAACACTTTTATAGAGAAAAAACTGAAAGTATCAGAAATATGGACAGTTTCTCACCATTTATCGTGTGGGCCTCAGCAACGGTTATATTTGATGTAAGCGGTTTGGTGGGCCTAGGTCAAACAATTGAAAGTTAAGCTTTAAGAAATATAATTAAACTATCATACCTAGGAGACGATTAGATAAATTTTTATTTCTGCCATTACTAATCTTAGTTTGCTTATAAGATATCATTTCCGTGTGTTAAATTAGAGGTAATATCATGTTTTAACTAAGAACGAACACAGAGCCCATAGAGAGGGGGGGCAAACGCGTTTTTTTAAGGGAGTGGTAAAAAGTTTGGAAGTTTGTTCACGTAAACTACAGTCTTCCTGAGGAGTAAGGCTCCCGGTTGGGCTTTATACACATGTTTGAAGGAAACTAAGCGCAAGCAGACCAAAACTTAGCCTCTCTCATGTTACGAAAGACTCCTTTTATGTGGATTGTGACCCCTGCTGTTCCCTCTGGATCCACAAAACATGCTAGCAGTAACGGCTCCACAATGTTTGCTGTGGGTTAGGTCTATATGTGCTCATGTTGACTGGAAGAAACTTTCAAGCAAATAAGGATTTTTAATTTGTGTTGTTTCTGCTGAGAGTTCGATGACATTTCTACATTTGATTGGCTTATTTGCGACTTTTATCGTCAGATTACAGACCTATATGCTATTACGAACGATGTCACAAGGTCAGACTTACCCTTTCTTGGCCCTCTTCCCACGTCTTCGCCACCAGATAAAGGCAACAACGAGCGCCACCAAGGAAAACAATACGACTAGGCTGACTGCAACGGGGATTCCCACCGATATGCCAACTTGGCCATCTGAGTCTCCACCCCCTCCAGTAGCGGTGTTCTCCGTTGACCTCTGATCTTCTCTTGATGGTGTTGAGGCCACCCCGGAAGTTTTTGGTTCGTCGCTCTTTCGTTCAGTCGTAGATTCCAAGTCATCCAGCAAACAGGTGAATTTTCCACCATCAACAGTCACATCAACGGAAGTACCATTTTCAGAACAGGTACAGTTAAAGTAAGATGGCCATCTTAAACCTGACGTCTCAAAGAGAACAATTTATTGTTTATTCACTGTCAATTTATTTTTGTGATTTGGTACAGTGTAATACACTTGAAATTCTGTAGCCTTGATTGAGGTGTCAGATTTGCCATATTGTTTATACAGTGAACTCGCAGATGATAGAATTCCTCAAATTGCCTGTAAACTGTGGGACAGGCTTATCCGCCTCGAGCAGAACCCTCCCCCATTTGGTTAAAAAAGAGCCATATTGGTCGGGAGTGGTCATGTGGTTGGTGGCAATGCGACCGTAACGCGTGCATTTTATAGTCCTTTGTCACGGTGAACCAGCAAAGATCAGCTCCGACCAAAGGAGCCTGATCTGTTGCTATGAACATTGCGCCCTCTGATGGTCCAACTCGAGGCTCATAACCGTTACAACCAGGGCTAGTGTCGTATGTACAATGTACATGTGCATATCCGGTGCGGCACACGTACGTGCATGTAGGCTACTACTGTTCAAAACCGGGAATCAGTATGGTGCGACAGTCAGGCTAGTGTTAAAAAAGAGAGACAGTTCTGGTTATATGGCATCTTAAAGCTACATAAACCAATAATGCCACGGGGCGGATCCAGTATATTTTGAATGGGGGTTCCGGAAATTCATGTTCGTGCCGGGCTTACTACATGTTGTCATTGATGATGAAGCCATTTCATCTCTTTGTTTTGTCCACGAGCAAAATAATTCCCTACGAGGTGTATGTCTTCAACGTATGCCCCCCCCATCTACCCCTGAGCAAATAGCACATATTTCCACAAGATTTCTTAATTCTCACCGTTTCCGTTTTCGGACTTGTCAAAGGCGAAACTGCAAGAGCCACAGCTGCACCGTGCTGTCTCATTCCTTCAGGACATAAAAAAGACAACAGCGATCGTTAAAGGAGTAATCTATGTGTTCCTTTATATCTGATTTCATATTCCTGCCCGAAAAATCTCCCCTAAATTTCTATCGTTTTAGTAAAGAGAAACATTACCAGCTATGCCACATCTTATAAATCTTTTATTCAGGCTGCAACAAACCTGCTAAGCATCAATATTCACTGCACATACATTGTGAGAAGTGGATTAATCTCATGACTATGATAAGCTTGGGTTCGGTTTAACATTACTGGGCCATATATTACAACGAACATCCAACAAAAACAAAACGCAGTGAAATAGCAATGAGCGTCAATTGTTATCGCACCCTACTTCTTTTGTTAGATGTTCATAGTGTATATTCCTTCCAATCCTTTCAGTATCATACTCATTTGTGATGACGTCATGTACACAGCCACACCCAATCAAGCAAGTTGTTTCGTCATTGCATTGACAGAGAACAGTGTTGTTAAAGTAATCCCTGCCACTACGGACGCACAGGGGCACGGAGTCAACAAGATGGTTGAGATTAGGAAGGGGTGATCTGCATGGTTCTATGTGGGAATAAAACAGGTAGTCACAAGTAAATAAGAATTCAACTGAATCTGTACACATAGGCCTACCAAATGTAACCAATTAGTAGATAATTCAAAGATAAGTAATCAGTTCGGTGGTTCTAATTAATAATTAATAATAATTTATTTATTTAATTCATTAATGGATCCATTCATTCATTCATTCATTTATCTTTTTTTCTCATTGTCCCCATTCAATGGTAACATAAGGACTTAGTAGCAATGTAATTTGAACATCTCGATGACAATTTCTCAAACTAATAATGATTTGAAAATTTGGATAATGGTTGTAAAATCAATATCACAAACCTGAACCCTGGTGCCTTTCCTGAGTCGACCTAACATTACCAGATATTTCCCGCTCACAGATATAGGCGGAGTTTCTACTGCAGTCCCTGTCATTCCACAGAAAGTCATCCTGTGGTCGTAACCTGAAGCAAAGACTGCCTCCATTGTTGCTTCTATCATTCCTCACGAAACCTTGATAGACTGCTCGGCTGCCATCCAACCAAGCGTACTGGGTAACCAATCCTATCCAGTACTTTCTAGAGTTGTTAAAGCCAGAGAGATTGGTAATGTATTTTAGCTTTGCCTGTGATTGGATGTACAGCAGATGACCACCCCCATTACTGCAGTCTTCTTGAGCTGGGATGTGTCTCGCTGGACCACCAAACCAGTAACAGGAACTGTTATGGTTAGTGCATTGTCGAGACGAAGAACATTCTGTCAAAAAAAAGAATGACCAAAAAGTGCGACATCCTTAATATTACATCGAAGACACTTTTATGTTTATAACCAAAAGATTACTTGCACAAATGCGTAACAAATATGGAATTGGATGAGTAGATTCATCGTTGACACATTACTCATCCCATGCTGGCTGTATCACACATGTATGTGCAGGAACAACGGAAAACTTAAAAAACTTAAACGGAGTTGTGCTGTTTTCAGCAGAGTTTTTGAAAATGAAAGGCATCAGTGACCCGATTATGTTTGTGAGCTTACCGTTGGCCCGTTCGCAGATGAAGTGACGTTGCTGGTTACAGTTCTCACCCATTAAAATTAATTTCCCATCGAATTTAACGAGAGAGAAACATCCAGCTTTGCTTTTCTGAGAGAATTCAAATAGATCATTGTGTGCTAGACTCCTATTCAGCCAGGTGTTGTTGGTGGTTGGTATCAGTCCAATCCAGTAATGATCAGCTGCAGAAATGCTGCCATCTCTGAGAACTTGGGAATGATTCGCCAAGAATGTTTGCTCGTCTTCAGACTCGATGTACACAAGATGGCCATTACGAGCAATGCAGTCTCTGTGGGCGTCATCACGGGACTTTGGGTTATCACGAAGGAATTTGTAGCAAGAACCCCCAAAGAACAGTTCGTCTTTGTCACAATCTAAAGATATGTATTGAGAAGTTTTCCATAATAATTGACAACAAATATCCATTCGTAAATAGCAGGTTAATAACAACTGCTATTTCCCTTTTAATTGTTGATATTTGAGACCCTCTGTATTTTGAAGCCCATTGAAATATTCCAAATTGCAGACACGGCTTTTACGGACCCTTGAAATTCACAGGTGTTTGTCTCCTTGTTTCAATATGAAGTACATGTATGTGTTAAATGGCTGAAGGTCAGACAGAGGTGTCAAAAGCCAAAAGGCTTCCACTCATGCAGTTCAGCACAAGAGTTTTGGGATGAATTACATTTAACGTGTATTTGACATTAAGGCCAGGTTTGGTAACCTACCTGTCAGTTCGTCAGAACACATCAGTGTACCAGACTTGCTTCTACAATCACACATGTAAGTGTTTCCTGGCCTTAAACATGTAAAAAAAAAGTGTGAAATTTAGTACTTGCGTGGAAACACATATTAGGCCTAAATTTATTTATATTTCTTACTGCAGGTGAAACGAGAATAACTAATCCAAGGTAAACTTTGTATGAAGTTCCAAATAAACTGACCATCTGCACTGCAGATCAGCTTCCATCACAATTCCTAAACAAACCCTATTGATGTTCAACTAACCTACCCTTGAACGGTTCGTCGATGTCTGACTTTAGTTTCACCACCATGATTATCCTGACACGTTACTGGTATCGAACAGAGATGAATGCTGAGTAGAACCACTTGCACAGTCACTTCAAACAAAAGATAGTCCCTACGAAGCATATTGCATTACGCTAAAAATGAAGTAATCTGTAAATCAGACTATATAACGCAGCGGTCATTGCGAGGGAGCAGTGGCAGTAGTTGGCTGTTCACGGAAATGCAGCCTGCCGAAAAATGTGTGTAGCAATACAATACTATAGTTTTTCTGTGTGCTCATTCAGTGTGACGTATTCTAAACCACTTCAGTGTACTTCACTTGGCGTGTTCTGCTAATCCAAAACCACAATATTGTATAATTTGGGAGCTTTACTTCCGCCATGCAGTTTCACGCGTTCTCATAATTAGCTTTCGGACAAGCTCATCGATTGTTCTGCATTGTGTATCAGCAAATACTATATAATGGTACTGTCCCCCGTCAAGGTATGGTTATTGAGTCACTGTATATTTTACACTATATGTACTGCCTTTCGTCGAGTCTTTTTCTTTAGATTGGGAGCTTCGGAGCTATTTTACTGGTGTTGGCTTTCAAATGTATTTAGCTCCCAAATAGTTCGTTAACCTTGACTTTGACGTTCCGAAAATTGTATACGCATACGCGAGAACAAGCGTGAATTTGGCTCGTAGAAACGTTGTATGTCATATTATGTATGCGATATTTCTGAGACTGTTCTTTCTCTATTTTTGGAATGCCTGATTTCATTCTCGGAGAGAAGCAATTTTCGCTATGCCCTCTTAAAGCACACACCAAATCTCTTAATGTTGAGATATTTTCAAGTAAAAAGTAGGTAGGCCAAGTCACGTTTTTTGGATGGAGACTCCTTCGAGGGATGCGTGAGAATCAGGGATGAGCTGGTCTATTTTGGATGATGATTTGGATTTTTTTAAAGGATATAGCCCTTTCCTATTTCGTGTAATGTTCCGCAAAAGGTTAATGTGTCATGACCATTAACCCTTTAAAATGATTTACATTCTTTAAATTGAAATTCTGAATGTAAACATCTGTTAATTTAAAAGATGGCATATACAAAGGAAAATCCGTTTCGAAACAGATAACATGGTACGTTCAGGTGAAAAAGGCCTTTATCAAAATAATACAAGCTCTTTTATAATCTAATCTCAAATAAAAAAAGAAAGAACCGCTGTAGACAAATAAGGAGGGTAATCTGCATAGGATCAATGGATTCAAGCCCGAAGCAGTTCACTGCCATTTGGATCCATACAAGTCCAGTTAGACGATAATTATAGTGTACCCTTCAGCGTGGTCATTGAATTCAGGGAAATGGTTAATTATCAACTGTAAACCATTCACACAAAGTTCTGCGAGCTTTAAAATGAGGCTTCTATCAAATACATAATCGGAATCAGTAAAACCATGGTTTGGTGCCAATTTCTCCGGCAGACTTTCAGTTGCTAGGCATGAAACTCATCGGAAAGTACTATGTTGACAAATGCTAGCCTATGGGCGCCCGTTGTGCATCAGCATACTTTGACAAATTCTCCACGTTTGTGGAGTTTTTAGTCAGGAGAAATTCTCACTCAAATGGGGTTATCCACTATATGGATGGTTTTTCTGTGTGTCGCTAAAAAGGGCAAGATGTAGGCTAGGGTTGGGCGCTGCTCGTTGAGCTTAAAACCGTGTGTGAGTTATTGCCCCAGAGAAATTGGAAGGTCCAGTAGAGTCTCCAACAAAGCTTGGGCTAGAAATCGATACCACAAAAATGCAGGTTCGCGTCCCATTAAAGAGGCTGACAGACATTAAGCAAAAGATAAACAAAGTTAAACGCAACCATGGTTGCATTTAAGGAAGTACAATCAATCGTGGGTACACTAAGTTTTATCTGTCAGCAGTCAAACCAGGCCGGGCCTTTCTGAGGAGGCTTATTGATCTTCTCAAAGTAAAGGTAAAAATAGATACCAGCCGTGGGATCCGATTGTTAGAAGATGCCAAAGCCGACTTGACCATGTGGGTAAATTCTTGGAAGCCTTTAATGGCACAGCTATAATCACTAAGCAAATGTGGAGGCCAATCAGGAAATTGAACTCTTCACTGAGTCCAGTAGAGGCATTGGCTATGGGGGCTACCTTCAAGGCAAATGGTTTCATGGCCAGTGGCCAGCCAAGGTCACAAACGGAACATACTCGATTGCTTGGAAGGAGATGTTCCCAATAGTAGCAGCCACAAAAATATGGGATTATGAAATAATCGGGAAGCAAGTGGTAATTTGTACGGATAATATGTCGGTTGTGCACATAAATAATGAGCAGTCATCGCTATGCCCCCAAATCTTGGCACTACTGAGACACTTTGTGCTAGCGCGTCTGAAATACAACATATGCTTCGAAGCGGTGCATGTGGCAACAAAAAGAACTTAATTGCGGACGCATTGTCTCGTTCTCAGCTTCACAGATTAAGATGGGTTGCTCCAAACGGGGCAACAGAGTCCGTCGCTTTACCGGAATGGCCGTGGGAGATTTAGGACATGAAACCAATAGGCTCACGTCCATGTCGCTAGCTCCGGGCACCCAGACGCGTATCAGCGGTCAGTGAATGCGTTTGAAGACTTTTGGGCTGAAGTGCACTTAGCACCAGGGTGGCCTGTCACAACGCATCTAATCTTAGCCTTCATTGCAGCTCTCTCCGTAAAGGGAATGGCTTCATCTTCAATTGCCTTACATGTTGCAGAATTTGCCTCCAATAGTGATTCTTTTCACAATTCTATTTGTATCTCTGGTTAATTACTCATGCACATATAATCTAGAAATAACATGATTCATATTTTCAAGGAAATACAGAATATTGAACATTTTAAGGAGAGCTCAGTTCTACAGTGTTGCCTACGAGATTTTAAATAACTCAAGTTCAGAAAAGAAATCTTCCCAAAATGATGACAAACTATCTGCCATTAAATACAGTCAATAATCTTTCGTGAAATTATGAGGTAATCCAACCTGGTACTTACATTATTTATAAGATGAACAAAGATATTGATTAGGGAGAGATTTGGACCCTAGGACTTAGTGCCAGCGCCTCACCAACTGAGCTGTCCATCCCCGTGTCGGTGGTTCCTTCCATTTGTCAATATCTTTGTTCATGGGCAAAAGTCTACTACTTTATTTTGAAAAATAGTCGAAATCAGCCGAAACTCGTAAATCAATAAGTGCTCACACTACGTGTTGCAGTACAACACAACACGGGCAATGTTGCAAACCTGGCAAGTCTTGGGTTTTTTGGAGAGGCTATGACTATGTAAGCCGTACAGGGAAAATGTCACGAGGGTTTGGGATAAGGCAGATGGTAAAAGTGCTGGCGTGGGTGTTTCGGAGGTGCCACTGATCTCACCCAAGTTAGTTTCTTTGATCGTTTTTACACTTCTCAAAGAGCCAATAAAAGAGGCAATAAATTTTCCCATTTATTGTTCAACAAGCATCTCGCAGCCCAACCTCGTCCTTTTCCATAACGATTGTGAGCTTACAGATATAAAAACGCACCCATTCAAGAAGAGATAAGTGACAGTGAGCAGAGAAAAAATATTTCTGATTCCTATTTATATTCGTGTATGGAACGCGCATGTTTTGAATTATTCATGTATTGATGTAACTGTTGCTGTTATGTAAATCAACTAATGATCTGCTCGTTTTATAGGTTTTCTATTAAAATTGTGAAATGAAAATATACTCATTAAAAACATTGGCTTTTACCAATAACAGAATTGAAAGGAATCATGGTGATTAATATCCGTTATATACTATACTCCAGTACAATACAGTTTCATCAATTAAATCTGCGTATTTAAAAGATCTCTATCAGTTCCAAACATCTAAAAATCCTCTAAATTTAAAAATGTTCTACTTCATGGAGCATTTATACCACCCAGCAAAATTGACACTAACGCTTTAAAGATCAAAAATTGGCAAAATGTTGCCTGTTCTTTGATGGTCACATATATTAAGTCGCATGTAGCATTTTCCATTTTACCACTTTAAGAAATTTGCCCCATATATAACAAGCAATTAAACCTAAATAGTATATGTATGGAAATTAAATTCAAGCATTTCATTCATTTTTTAATACACTGTGCATTTCTCTCATGGCAAATTCTACCTTTTGTTAGTTGCTGTTTGCTAAAACATATTTCTGAATACCAACGCATTAATGGATAAACGGATATAGGCGGCTGAATCCTTTACCTAAGTCTCATATTTCTACAGTTAGTTCATAATATTCGTCTAACCGACAACCAACTATATGCATGAATATACAATGAAGAGTTTATCATAATGTTAATCAAGATCAATTAATGTCTTGGAGCATTGGACTTCAATTTTTATTAAAATGGGAATCCCAGTGGAAAGTATCAATGAATATATAAAATTAGACAGCTTGATTTTATCAAAAATTTTACGAGCATTGTTAAAGAGTCACTTAAACCTGTCCGGAGATATGCTCCACACAAGACAAAGAAAAACATACAATAAGGTTCTGTAGTATTAATCACAGGGTCTGAATATTTTGTGTTTGCGAGAATGACATTCTCTAATGCTAAAGATTGCAATAGATCAACCAGCAAACCTAACTAGCATACATACCCTCAAGATTCAAAGATCAATTTTCGTTGTCTTGATTTGATTTTTTATCATTACGCGGTATGGTCCTAGATGTGTTGCGATCCGTTTGTGATCTACGATACATTCTGTTTATTGACCATTATGTTCTTTCATTATTGTTCCCATTTGTATTCCTGTGACTTTGATTACGTGTCATGTCAGCAAAGTAACGCATCATGTAGAACTTAAGGTGGCATCGTACATCAGAAAGAATAGACAAAGGAGTTAATAACGAAACAGAAAATAACAAATATCTTCACAATGAGGGATTTAGCAGTGCAAAAATTGGATGGTGGAAATTAATAAGGGATCAAATATGTGCTTGGCCGGTCTTAAACGTGCGTTTAAGAGACCAGCTAAAGGAGCCTTTCCAAATGTGCATCAACATTTTGCGCCAACCGTTGCGTATCTGTCAAAATCGCTCCCTGAGCGTTTTTGAACGCAACGCACACGTGTGTTATGTTAGTGGAGTCTGGTTTTTTTTTTGCGTGTAAGCGAAACACATGAACGCATCGCGTACGCAACGCACCTAAATATCGCATATATGGAAAGGCACCTTAAGGAGAATATATGCAACTAATGCCCAAGCTGCATGCAAGGGCATTTATCAGCGCTCAGTCCCCTGAGCCGGTCCTAAACGTGAGACTGGCCAAACATTATATTTTTCCCATTCACGAATACCTTTTGTAGTGAGTGAGTAACAAGGGGTGAACATGTGACAGATTTCCAACAATTTGTTCTAGAATTTGGTTTAATTTTCCCAAACACCCCGTTCCATTTCATTTTACAGTTGTCCAAAAGAACCTCCTTATATGGACATTGTGCACGCGTGGCGAGTTTCATGCACACAGACTCTTGACCAATCAGAATAGATTAAACTGTCCCGTATCCAGGCGTCAGTGGGTGATTTACTTAGCGGGCATTATCAAATGTTTCTGCACGGTTCCACGTTGTTGCATAAGGGGACTGTCTGAGGTATTTCCAAATTCAGGTTAAAACGTCTAGTCATCACCAAGGAAACTGTCTGCCAACTCTAAATTTAAACTTAGTGACAAACTTGCATTTATGGCCTTGACAGCTTATTTATAAACAGTTGCCAATATCGGTAGATTTCGTCGATGACAGTGTCAAGCAAATACTAAACTCAGTATTCGAATGACTCTACGAATCAATGTAACATTCTTGCCTTACATGGAAGCAATTGCCAATAACGGAACTCAATGTGGCTTTTATAATAGACTTCAGTGTTCCTTTGACAGACTAATTGCTGATTTATTTTATTGGTCCCATTTCATAACCAATCTGGTATTAAAGTCTCTACATGGGTGACTGCAAACGATGTTTGAATGGAGGAAGTTTCCTTCTTAGGTCAAAGTTGAATATTCATCCTCGGTAGTAATTGCTGGTACCCCGGATACTTCTTTTCGGCCGCCACGGTTAACAGTGGAATATACATCGCCTTGAGGCGGGTCAGTGAGACTGTAAACACCTTCATTGATAGGAATATTATGCCTAAGACCTCGATTATTTGTACGATTAAAGGCGCTGTATTCATTGGCTCTTGGTGGGTTTGTAACGCTGTAGACGCTGTCATCAGTTGGAACATTATTACTCGGGCGTCGATCGCCTGCACGATCGAAGGTGTTGTATTCATTGTTGTCTGGTGGGTTTGTAACGCTGTAGACGCCATCATCACTTTCAACATTCTTACTCGGGCGTCGATTGCCTGCGCGATTGAAGGTATTATATTCATTATTTTCCGCATCATCTGTGGGGTTGTAGATGCCGTCCTCGGTTGGGACATTCAAACTTGGACGTTGAGCGCCAGCATGATTGAGGGTGTCGTATGCGTTATCTGTAGGCGCCAGACTGTATTCGCCTTCATCATTATCAGAGGGATTCTCTAGTTGGTAGTAGTTATGATCTTGGCTTTCAGGCAGTTTTGTCGAAGGACCATCCACGCTGACGTACCCACTGATTCCAATTGGCTGCTTGCTTTGTATCGCTGGTGTACTGACATCACTGAACACAACCGCAGGAGCATCTACGTCAACATAATCGCTACGCCCCTTTTGATCCGAATCCCCAACAGCTGTAGCTGGAGCATCTACGTCCACGTACTCGCTGTCCTTCGTCAGGTTTTTTAGCTTGAGTTGCGGATTAGTTGCCTTGGAAACCCCAGCACCAATCCGCTGACCAGCTGGTGGTGCCTTGTTCTCTGGTTGTACATACTCGTTCTCACTGCCATCTTTATCTGGTTTCGAACTGTTGTTTGGGATTAGGGTGTAAACCGCTGGGTCGTCATCACTGTCAGCCTCATTCTGAGTTTTCTTGAGGTCNTGTGTACACATCATTTCCACGCTGTGGTTTGTAAGCAGTGTATCCAGTAGCCGGGGTGGGTGTATTCTTGGTTTCGTTGCTGTAATTAGTGTCATGTAGGGCTTTGTGGAGGTCCCTTTTATCCTTGGACTTGTCCGGAGTGTATCCATTAGACTGAATAGTAGCGTAACACTCTGATTCGCTGGCTGCCTGGTCGTTTGGCTGTGTTGATACCAAAATAGAAATAAATCCCTCCACAGTTTTTTGTTTGGGCACTCTTATTCTTTAGTCAGCGAGGCAGTGAGATTTGAAATGTACAGGTGCTTTCATTTGTAAAAAGTAAATGGGGTTTTCCTTTTCACATTCAAAGATCATCCAGCTTAAATATATTAAAATTTTCGAGATTTTGTGTGTTGTAGCTTGAGAAATGTTTTGTCACTGCCGAATATGTACCTGTTATTTGTTAAATGTCAGTAAAAATGTTTTGAAGTAATTTTTATTACCTTTATGTCGGTATAGATATTATCAGCTTGTGGCTTTGAAACCCTTCTCTGACGAGCCGGTGTGATTGGTTTGAAAATGTCTTCAGTCACGTGATCATCATCGTCTACTGCATATGTTGGATTTACTGCCAAGAGATAAAATAACATTTTAACACATGGACTACAACCAAAATTTAATGCCCATTAAAAGTGCCCATTTACCGTCGGAGAGGTCACCTGAAATCACGAAAGAATTGGTCAGAATTGAGGGAAACGTTAATACAATTTCACTTTCCGTCGGTTTCTTATTTTGAAATCAAGAGAATAAACACTTTTAAAAATAAACCCCAACTACTGTAGCGAAAAAGTCAGTGGACTGTCCGCCAAGCTCATTGATAAAAGTAATACCCTCAAAATAGTGTATATTAGAGAGTCCTGAGAGCCATGGAATTCCAGAATTGAAGAAATATGGCACCAGACCTCTCGCCCAGATTCAGGGCTTGCAGTTCCCAGCAATTAAAATACAACTAGGTCCGAAAGTAGCACTATTTGGCCGTTTTGCAGAGGTATGCATTTTCAAAATGGCTACCTTTTCCGGCACTGAAATTTTCTTCATTTTAGGGGTGGTCTGCTTTGAGTGAGAGTTTCTCAAAAATTCATAGGTCAACCCACTAAAAAAATGAAAGGAAAATGAAAAAGACATGTCAAACATCATTTTGCTGTCCAGCTTGAGCACCTGCGAGAGTTGTGAATATTTCGAAATAAATTGTGTTTAATAAAAGGATTTATCATTAGTGTACTTTTAGGGGTGCACCCCGAGAGAGAAGAACCGTCGCGTATTGTTAGCGAGTTTCAGCATTCAACCTCGTTGAAGTTTGGGCTGTGTGTTCGGCGGTCTGTGGAGGGCTGCGAACGGTGGGACTTTAGAAAAGTTCTTACCGATCTATCACTTTTAATAAAGTGGCAGTGAGTGTCAGGTTGAGAGGCTGTAGGTTGAGTAGAAGTGTATAGCAAATGTAAAGGCTTGTGGGATTTGAGAAGTAGGGAATAGGGATTTCGGGTCCAAACCACTTTCGGTCCGGTACTTACCCGATCCCTCTTGGCGGAAAAAGATTTTAAAAATCATCACTTCCCTTTCTTAGTCCGGTACCTACCCAACCCTCCTCGGTGGGGAAAAATAGAAGAGAACGATGCCTTAAAAGATATAAAAAATCCAAAATCCCAAAATCTGCCAAACCCCAAAATCCGCCAAACCACAAAATCCTGCCAAATTTCACTTCACATCAGCGAAGCAGAAGAAGATTTATGGGTACCGGACTAAAAGGGGTGTGGTGATATTTTTGATTTTTTTTCCACCAAGGGGGGTCGGGTAGGTATCGGACCGAAAGTGGTTTGGACCCGAAATCCCTATTCCCTACTACTCTTGTGCAACGGTGTTCCAGGTGCGGGAATTGGGTTGCAGGGAGCACGTGGACCTTGTTGTGTGTTGTCACACTGAGGTTTACTCAAAGCTCCGAAACCTAAGCCAAGGTTTACAAGTCTCTAGGGTTCGCTACGAGGGTTTTCTCTTGTTTATTGAGCACTAGTGGGATGGCTCGCTTCCCGCAGCACCCGCTAGTGGCAACAAAGTAAGTAAAAGTAAGAAGTAATATTTTCCGATGACACCGCAATCTCTGGATTTGGACAAATTTCAGACTGATGAAGCTCAATAAAGAGGCCAACTTCGCGCTGGGAGTGGACCAGTGAAGTGTAAAAGGCGCCTTCGAGAAATAGGAAGCAGACACCAACTCATGCCTTCTTTTGGGAATATTTCAGTTATTCCAAGCTACTTGATTTTGATGGAAGTAAAGTCTGCTGGGTTGGCCGTTCTACTTACCGTTCTTAGGATAGGAACGGTGTATTGAGGCTAATGTAAATGGAATGCATCGTTTGGACATAACACATTTTGTTTGCCGTTTAAAGTCCACACCAGATTATTCTATTGGCATAATTAAGAACAGAAAAAATATATATAGACAAAACAAAAGATTATCCATTGGAAAAGTACACAAATTAACAGACGAAAATATCCTTGTTACTGTTAATCACAGTGGGAACCAGTGAGAATTATTGTCACTGTGGGTTACTCGTTCAGATGCACAAGGGTTATTGCACAGAGTCTTTATGATTGGTCCTATAATCTTGTACATAAAGTGACTGTTGTGCTGAGGTTTATTTAGCCATAAACCCTGGTGCAGGGTTAAAGATTCTCGGTGAGGTTGACTTACTGGAAGTGTAGGATAAAAAAACAGCTATTGTTCTTAAAGACACTGTTAGGTTTACCTGACATCGTAGATTGGTAGCCATGTTCACCGTCATTCCTTTAGGGTTGGTATATTTCCAACAAACGGACAGGCCTGGGACTAGAGTGCTTCGTTCGTGACGTAATCCCCCTTATATGTGCATAGCCGCCCATGTGCATGTTAGATTAGTTAAATATTTTTATGGGATTGTCCCCGCTAGCTGTTAGTGGGTACCTCAGGCCCCATCGACTGCTGGGCACCCCTTGCCGCACTACTCACCATTTATCGTGTGTGACTCAACAACGCGTGTATCTGATGTCAGCGGTTTGGTAGGCCTATGTCAAACAATGGAAAGCAAAAAAATATTATTAAACCAATATCAGAATAAATATATTCATGAAACAAAATATTTGTAGAAATTATAAATTCATGATAACTTTTGAACATTCTGAATTATATATTCATGTTATCATGAAATGTATTCATGTTAACTTAGGAAAACGTAATCTAATGGGATGTTTTACCGGGGATCCAATAATATTTACGCATCTGATTGCTTTAATACTTTTTCATTTAATTGTCAGAGGAACCTGTATTCAGTAACGAACGAGGTCAGGACTTCAGACTCACCCCTTGTTGCTCTTCTGTCTGCGTCTTGTCCACCAGATAAAGCCAACAACAAGTGCCACCAAGAAAAACAATACAGCCAGAGTGACTGCCACGGGGATTCCGATCGGTACACCCACTTGGTCAGCTGGGTCTCTGCCCCCTCCAGAATCTGTTGTAGTCTTTGGTTTGTTAGTAGTAAGCCTTGTATTAGTGGGTCTCAAACCATCTGGTTGAGATGTTACTGTCAATAGTGTACTCTCTGCAGTTGTGGATTCCTGGTCATGGGACACACAGGTTAACTCTCCGTTGACGATCGTCAAATTGAATGGGGATTCATCTCCACTGCAGATACAGCTGAAATTGGATGGCCATACCGTTTCTATTGCACAAGCCAAAACAAAATCACTATTGATATATTTTTGGCTATTCGTAATGTTGTGACAACAAAGATTAACCCAAACGCACTACAATGACTCACAATAGCAAAAGAGTTGACATCGACCACGGAAGAAATGACATCAGTGGTAATAGCCATCACAGGCAAACACACCAGTAACAACAAACATTTGAATGCACGATTGAATAAAGTAATAATGTACTCAAGGAATGTGATTGGTGAATGTAAGGGAAATGTACATGTATGCGCAGGACAATAAATGTTTCCTTTCTACCATACTACCGGTATTGTGGAAACTGTAAAGTGCAGGACAAAAAGGTAGGCCTACTAAAGCGATTCAAACCTATGATTATATATGACAGACATTTACTTTCTAATAAGGCATATAACGAAAGTTGCCTGCTTAGTGAAGCACTCACCAGCGCTGTCTTCTTCAAACTGACTGATTTCGAGTTCACAGAACCCACAACCACATTTCACAGTTGTTTTCCTGTGACAGTAAACAGAAAGAAAACGTTCAGCCAATGAAGACGTGAACTGTACACTTGTGAAGAAAATAGAAAATCTGTGACGAAAATTTGCAGTCTCCATTGCCTAACTGATTATCACTCTCCAATGGATCTTTCATAATTGTGTTCTGCATACTGGCCAATTTTGTTCCCAATTTCGAAGAGTCCTACTCAGTGAAATTAAAAAGAAGAACCACATTGGAAAATCAGAATTCAAAACGCCAAGTTTTTTCATTAGTTTGGGATATTGGAACGAATTACCGCATTAATTCCAGGGAATTTCATTATTACTACGACCCTTATAGGGGCACATCTATTCTGAGGAGGCTAAAATAATAGCTGAGCAACCGATCTCACAAAATATACGCAGTTTTCCTGTTGCCTCCGACCCTGTCTGTAAACTCCATTACAAGAAGAAAGGGAAATTACAATAAAAGAAAAGAAAGAGGGGTAGTGAAAATTCTTTGTATTACTACATACCCATTTGTCTGCATAGAGCAGCCACATTCGTCGATGACATGCCTTGATTTGCATTCGCGTAACACGGGTGGAGAATAACCGTCATCGAGATCGTACAAACATAGGGCACCAGACCTTCCGAGCCGCACCAAATTGTCCGGTATCGTCGCAGGGCAGGACATAAATGCTTAGAAAAAGACAAAAACTGAATAAATAAATGTACTTTGACCTCAATCTTTGTTAACAAACCTCGCCTTCTTGGTTTATCAAAGTGAAACTACCGAAGGCAGGCCACCGTTATCGACAATGAAGTTGTAGGTCCAACAATGATGACTGTTTAAAAAAATCCTTGGCCGACTTGCCCAGAGGATTAAGAGGTACAGACAAAATCGGTAGAGTATGGTGTTCCATTCCCGCCATTTTGGCGTCGCGTCGTACCGTTGCTCCGACGCCACGACGCGACGGAGCCGTCGTAGCGTCCGGTCGTGCCGTCGCGTCGTGCCGTCGGCCTCGGGGCAATGGCAAGACGCGACGCTAATTTGGCGGGAATAGAACACCATAGTAGAGGAATGAACTTAATCCGGGTTGGCGCGCTCATCTCCGAGTGCGCGTCAAAGGACGTGACGGTCGTCATCCACACCACCACTTGTTAACGCATAAGCAAGCCGTTTGCTGCTGAACTCATTTCCCTGATCTTCTTGCAAGCTTCAGTTCATTAATTCCAAATTGTTGCCCTGAAGAACTATACAACAAAACTGAAATTATAGATCTCTATGATTAAGGTCTAAACTTAGTTTTGATGCGTAGTTTGGTCGCCAGTCCAGGCATTTATGACCGCACTGGATGGACTGTTTGTTGGTTTTTTATTTCCTTCTGAATTTCGTATGAATATTCATCAAAAGAATTAACTTCCACAATAACTTACCCTTCAATTCGTCGGGAGATTGGACCTCCTTACGTTCACAGATGTAGCCGAACAACCTACTGCATTTGTGGTCATTTAATTCGAATGACTGTGCATGGTTCAATCGAAGGCAGTAATTGCCATGAGAACCATCAGATGAGTATGTAAATCTCGATAATGCTGGATTACCATCCATCCATCTGTACTCTGTAATATTATCGATCCAGATACGCCTCCATCTGCTGCCAACCTTATCTGTAATATAATCCAGCTCAGCTTTCGTTTGAATACGAAGAAGATGAGCGCCGTTCCTCTCGCAAGTTGTTTGGGCATCATGCCATGACATTCGTGATGACCAGTTATAAAATCGATAGCAAGAATTTTCAAAGTCACAGAGGTATTCTGAAGAACCTGTACGAATGAAAAGTAATCAGTAAGGAAATGAATACAAATCTACTATGGAGGGGTTAAGTTTAATCACAGTTAATGAAACTAAGATCAGTCTGTCCTCAATACGTTCGAAGTCTATTTGAAAAGAAATTCCAGGTTGCACTGTTTTTATGTTATGTCTTATGTGGAGAAGAGAGACATCGGAAAAAGATAAAAATAGATTAAACAACACTGTCATACCAAAACCGGATTTTTTTCTTTTTGTTTTTATCTGAACTGAATTTCACTGAACAAAATTTTTGAAGAGTCAGACATATTCCTGCGAGTTAACGAAGTTTTCAATTTCAAAAATGCGTTTTGAGTTACAGTCAGATTAGATACACTCTACCCTCATAGGGGAGCATCAAATGCCCTACGCTTACCATCAGATTCACCAGCTACTCTGGGTTGTTCACAAACAAAACGATATGAACGATCACAGTCGACAATATTTATGTCCAAGTGAACAGTATTAAGGTAGAAGCAGCTGGTACCATGGCTGTTCCTGACAGGCAACAACACGGGAGGTAGTAATGAACCATCTGGCCAAGTCGGTAAAGGAATCAGTCCAATCCAGTAATCAGTCTCATGAAGTGAGGACGAATGGGATGCAGTCATTTGCAAAAATTGTAGCTCGTCCTCCGATTCGATGTAAACGAGATGACCGTGGTTCTCAATGCAGTTCAATTGGGCATCATTGCGTGACTTGGAGTCATCGGTAACGAACCTGTAGCAGGATCCTCCATGAGATATGTTGAGTGTTTTGTCACACTCTGTAAAATGGAAAAAGTAATTTAAAAAATAGTCAATTGTCTTTGCTCAAGCATCGCTGTTATTTAATTAGTTTTTTATACACTATACCAGGTTCGTAACATTGCAGCGACGTCGAAAAGACTCTTTATTATGCAACATTCCATCGGTAGATATCTACTCTTGCATTAACAAGATCACTCTAAAGTTTGATCAAATTTAATAAAGATCCCTCACCATTAATGGGCGTCTGACAAGTCAAGCGCGAGGAATGTGGTGTACTCGAACATCTACATGTGACTTTGTTGTTTTCCCCTGCATGCGAACTGTTGAATTGGAAAAAAGAAAACAAATTAAGATTGGCAATAAGAGTATTCATTATAAGCACTGGTCTTCAGCTGGTATTGTTTTCATACGTGATCTTCTAGGTGACATGGGTTGCTTTCTATCACTGTCCGATTTTAGGGCCAAGTTCAATGTCCAGACCAATTTTATTGAATGTGGTGCGGTCTTAATATTAGTTAAGGCTGCTAATGGTGATTTGTTGACGAATAATAACAACATTCCCTTTCCGTTTGTTACCTTCAACATGCATGTTCTCCTGTCATACAAAAGGGCTCTCGGAGACTCTGCGACTTTTTGTCTCTGCAAAAACTGTAGGTAGAACGTTTGTTGACAAATGGGAAAGGCAACTTGAACTCCACTATGACTTGGATGTTTAGTTTCAGGTTTTTAGTGTTCCTTTCACATGTACAGTGGACTCTAAGCTTAGACGGTTCCAGTTTAGATTAATCCACAGAATCCCTAATACTAACTCGTTTTTATGTAAAATTCATAAGTTGGATTCCAATGTCTGTACCTTCTGTGAAAATGAAGAGGAAACCCTTATCCATATTTTTTGCAACTGTAATTATGTTAATTCTTACTGGAGTTCAATAGTAGATTGGATTAAGGACAAAACAAAGATAAAGTTTGTAATAGACAACCAACTTTTATTGTTCGGTGTTGTTGACACTAGACTCAAATGCCTCAGTATTATCCTTTTGGTTGCCAGATTTCAGATTTATAAAGCGAAAATGAACAGCAAACGTCCCTCGTTAGAAGTTTTGAAAAAAGAATATCCAGAGGCATTATCATTGTGGAAAATACTTGGCCTCTGTCAATGGTGATTGCCAAAATTTTTTTTGGTTGAAATGGCAAAATTACTCTTTCAAGTCTAATTCGAACAATTGCAGTTTGGCACAAAATTATTATGATCTCTTATAACTGTATTGATTGCTATTGAGTTTGTGTTGATAAGAGAGAAATAAAAAGGTATCTCTGGAAAACAAAAGAAAACAATGCTGCGGTTAACACTACTGCTGCGCTAAACGTGACTCCGGTTGCTGCTGTAAACACGGCTGCAGCATGATACTGCTTGTGTGGCTACCTATTGGTTAACTTCTACATAAATATACAAAGCAAGATATGAGATGGAGAGAACCCCCTGCTTTACATTGGTCATTGTTTCACTTGAGTCTAAGGAATTCTTTTCAGGCATGAGGGGGGTGTTAGGTAACAATAGTCTAGAGTTCTGGTTCTGGTTCTTTACTGCGCAACCACTTCAGTGGTTATCACGCGCAAATGAGTGTGTATTGCGATTGGACATCTTGGGGGTATCCCTCTGTCTCAACTCAAACTTTCGCCTTGCAAATTAATTCACATAAAGTGAAAATTCTTAGTTATCATCACTATCTTTTTCAGCTTCTATTTGCCACTGCAAGGCAAGGGCTAGTGAGACCAGCCCAAGCTGGTACAATTTTGGTCACGATACTTCTCGCTCCCTGAAGGCTTCCAATGAAATTGAGGGAAATCGATTGAATCCTAATAGTATTTGATGGGGTTAAGCATTAAGGTCCAAAATATTTCTTGCAATCATGATTCACTAATTCTAGAATTGGATAAATAACCTTATAGCCTCAAAATCTGTTTATCTGTTTGTAATTTACAGCTAATTGTTTCGAGTTCAGCTCACAAGGTCAGTTTTTGCACCCTTTTACAAGACACCTCGTTCTGATTTTATCCGGACTTTAATTAATGCCTGTAAACATAGACACTTAATATGCTATTTTGACATATAAAACTGCATTTTGTGAGTACATGCTTCCTGGGAAGGTGAGATGGTTTCTTAAATGTTTATGGTCCGATTAAAAGGGGCAGATACGTAAATACGGAGTTTGGGTTACCAGCGACGGAGGGTCGGGGGGGGGGCAGGAAACCTTGTGACACTGCCAAAGATGTCTCTCAGTCACCTTCACTATTTGGGCCAGTTTCGTAGAATCCATGCATTTTTCCACTGCTATATGAAAATCGCTGCTTTGATCGTCTGGTAAGGCTGTAACCTTACATGGGGGTAAGGGTTAATGAAAGTGTAAGGCTAAGAAGAAAATCATTTTTAATGAAACTCGTATTAATATGAGCCTAATTCAAGACATGTGAAGGTAGGCTTGCTCTTTAACTCAATAGTATGTGACATGGCGGAAGGTAATTCGGCTTGTCGAAAAGTCATTCACATAATAAAAAGAATCTTGATATTAGTGCGTCTATGTGTCTCTCTATATGTTGATGTATTAGGCCTACTGAGTTATGTTTTACTGGTGTTGCTGATTGAAAGAGGTTGATAATAAACAGTTCTGTTTTTGATTGGAACCAAAAACCAGAGGATAATCCTAAAGCTTGTCCTCCCCCAGTCCCCCAAATTTGGGGAATTATTATATCAACACCTCTCCCGGGATTTATACGCCCTTGAAAACGGGATAGGCACTCTCTGTTCTATTATTGGTATATATGTGCGCTACAAACAACAAACAAACTACAAACGTTTATTATTAATGTACAAAAGTGTAGCCAAATAGACCAGGCAAAAGGACAGCATGGATAACAAAGGAATAATACATGGTACAATGACTCTGTGTAGCAAATTAAAAGATAATTTTGCAAATGGATGTACTCGGCAATCGCAATTGTGTACTGCAGTTTAAGATTAAATTTGATTTAGTTGAAAGTTTGCATACATGCACCATACATTAAACGTGCTCTATTTTAAGTCACGGGTCTTCCATTTACGCACAAACCCTAAACTGTAATGTTTTTGGAAGTGTGTCGAAATGTTACCTATCGATTCCTGTACTGCCGGTGTCCCCCTTTGCTGTGAGTAGGAGCCGAGCAATGACGATTAAAAACATGAAGAGTTCCCAAACAACGGAAATTCTCACATCATTTTTGGAAGACATCATTAACCCAATGAGCAGTATTTTATACCATGAAATGCGTCAGATGTATCCAGAGTCAGTCCTCCATTTTGCTAGAATACGGTATGTCTTTCCTACAAACGTGCACGAGCACAAATTCGCCAATAACCGCAGGGTCACTGGAGTCAGGGTGCCTGGCATTAAAGACTGGGCAAGTCATAATGGTCTATTCAAAACCACTTTTGTGCTTTTTGTGTACCAAGCTTCGTGTTTTTACAATAAGCAAGTACTGATCACAACGTCAGTACTAACCTGTTTTGACAATTTTTACTTCCGCCTCTCGACGTATTCTATCATAGTTCCTCTAATTGAACTTGATTGACCCAGCAAGTAATTAGCAACAACATTATATATATGAATATCATTCTTAGTTGCTGTTATTTGGTTTTCAATGTCCGTATTTTACCAATTTCTCAGTAACTGCTGTGTAAATTTTATTCCTGATTTTCGAGGTTCAAGGATATAGGCCTATTACATTTTTTTTGGCATTGGGATATGCCTGTTTTTGAATAGTTTGTTCACCTTGGCTTTCCATTCGTAACCTGGTTGTGAACGCACTCAGACGACAATGCATGTATTATTTTAAAACCTTTGTTCAGTTCGTGATCTGCTTTCCCACGGGGAAAGGAAAAGGGAAAAAACATCTGGAGAAAAACCTGAGGCTTCTTGGAATGCTTTGCCTCCTCCATCTGTGAAATTTCAATTTGTTCCAACACTGGATTTTGTGGTCATTCAAAGCCTCACGCGTGTCAACACTTTAAACGGACACATCTCGGAAAAAACTGCCCGTTTTGTAAGAAAGATGCGTTTTCATGAAAATGGTGTCATAATTAATATTGCAAGATATCACTAAAAAATCCTAAAAGTTCACTACGAGTGTTCACCCATCGCCACAATTCTGTTCACTGCACTGAGACCACTCATACCACAATGCAATGTTGAAATTCGAAAAAAACCTGGAGTGTATTGGAAGATTTCTGAATTAAAAAGGCATACTCCAATCTACTTAAAGAACTTATCCGCTGCTGTAATTTCCAACGGAAAGTAACACTTCAGCAAGCAAATTTTATATTTCTACAATTTTACATAGACACTCCACTTATTGAAAAAACTGCTTGCGCTTATTATTTTTCTTTGCCAGGTTTCTTGATGAATCAAGTTTGCAAAACACAAAATATCATGTTGAAACAACCAACTTCCCTTGTTTCCAACTTCCCTTGTTTCTAATTTCTAGGCTATGTATCCAAGCAAACGTGAGGTTACACTTGTCGAGGTTTGAAATCCTATCTCACTTCTAATTTGCCTTGCTATGCTTACCAGAGCAAATCTCATTGATTTGTATTGTAATTCTTTAAGCCTTATTTACGCAGATTCCAGCCTTTTATAGGCCAAAATATAATTGATTTTTCCTGGAAATAATTGAGAACAATGGGCCAATTACGTCTAAATTAAAGAAAGAAAAGTGTGCAAAGACGTCCCTTCTCCGTATTCTCCGATTGTTCCAATCGATCGAATATGTAGGGCAAGGTTGTCAATTAAGGCCTCTATACATGTACAAGTAAATAGGAGGTCGTGGGTTTGAGCTCCACCGAGTGAGGTTTGGAACTTTTTCCCTGACGAGTTCTTCGAAGGCACTTGACAATAGTGCTTAATGAATACTATATCAAAGATCGAATACTAAATATTCTAACCAACATCTCCCACCATTCCACTGGCTGTGTTAGATCTAATAGATTTGTAAAAGCCGACCCAGTTTTGTTTAAATCCTACTTCATAGTGTCAAAATAAGCACCGCTGTCCCCGCTTGCAATAAGCAGAAGATGTGTCCCCACGATTGTCCCCACCACCAAGATGAAGGAAGATAACAGAGAGTTTCCTGGAGATATCATCGTGTAGGCATGTACCCAATTTGAATTTGCAAACTGTTAGATCAGTCTTTCGGTCCAAACAGTGTTAGTGAAATACAATGAGAAAATACACCTGTCGTTTACTCTCGTTGTACGCAATTTATATTGAACATGTTAAAGGAAGGTCGACTTTTGTGTCCCATCAAAACAACTTTTGTACCAGGTTTACGGTGTATGTATCAGTTTCCCTTCTCGCAAAACTCAATATCGTTGTGTTTTTATTTCCGCTTGTTTTATGTGTTTAACAAGAAGGCCAAATTACACCCAATAACCTGGTTCATTTTGGAATGGAAAAGGCTACGCTTGATTCCTGGCTGTTGTGATTTGTTTCCGATGAATTATGAATGACTTTGATAGCTTCATTTGACAGTTTGTTTATAACACATTGTCAATATCACCTTGTTTAAAAAATAAGTTTTTATGTTTTTAACACCTTAATTTGGGGGTCCACGATTTGGTCTTTCCACGACCATTTCCAAATAGTATTTACCCACAATCCCCTTATAAAACGTATATAGCGTATACACTTCGGAGTCTATTTCACGTTGGCCTTCCTTCTACAAAAAGGCAATACACCCGTACCAGGAAACGGGAATTGCAAATATATTTAAGTATTTGCTGTTTAGAAAAACAAACGAAAATGACATTATCAATGTCAAACCTGTGGAGCAAGAAATAATGCAGTGCAAATTCACCAGCAACAAACCATCGCTATTATGGAGCCTTTTCTTTGTAAAGCGAAGCATTTCTGAGCAAGGTAGCACGTAATAAGTCTCTTCTCAAAATTGTAAAAAATTGAGCATCATAAAAATAATACATGCAATGAACTCGTGAGCATCAAATATTAGACACTTTTCCTTCGCTGCTCAATATCACACCTGGTCGACGGTTTTTTTTTTTCAACTCCTTCGGTCAGTAACACCATCAACTCTGTATTTTCACCACGTACGAGCCATCATCATTATCCTTACCTGATTCTCAATAACTCCGTTTTGTGAGACGGTCACTACACCAAATTNATTTACATACCCTACAAGAATATAACCTCCCATGCTTTAGAAACATGTCTTTGCTATCCAGTACATTAGATTCATTGATAAGGAAAGGTAAACAGCAACTATATTGAAATAGATTCATTTTGAGGGCCTCAGTGGGTAAACTCAAACCAAAATAGAAAATACTTGATGGCTTTTATGAACGGCACACGTCTCAAACGACGTTCTGACTGACTCGCGAGTTTGCTTCCTTTATCAACTGAAGGAAAAAGTCCAAACAGAAGATGGGGATGACGCCATCACGTGTTTAATTTTTTCTTTCCTCCTGGTTTCATATGTTAACAGTTTCAAGAAGTGGTTTGTCGAACATCAGACGTCATTGCAATACATGGCATGGTACAACGTGATAGTTTTCGTATTGCCCAAACCAACAGAATTGAAGTGGAGTAAAAAATCTCAATTTGGCGTCCTTTTTCTCTACATGCTCAAAAAGCTTCCCATATTTGTATTTATGTTGGGTACGATTGTTTTTAACAAGACTTTTAATGCTTCATGAGGTGAAAAGAATTTCCTTCAGGAGGTTTTAAAATTTACGAAGCTCTATTAGGGACATGGTGAAGAAAATTATCCTTTCCTTGAGCTAATTCGTACGTACGACTTGTATGTCGTACACACGACTTCTTTCTCGTACGTACAACATCTATCTCGTCCGTACGACGTCTATCTCGTAAGAGTTATATGTCGTACGTACTAGTTGCATTATCCATAAGTCGTAGTAAGAGTTAACTGACTTAGAAGTCGTACGTGCGACATACAAGTCGTACGTACGAGTTAGCTCAAGGGGAGAGATTTTTTTTCGCCATGTCCCTTATACAGCTTCGTAAAATTAAACAATTTTTATATAACTTGAGAGACAGTAGTCGATTATCTTTTCTTAAAATTCCTACAGGTGGTAAATGTGACTTTGAAAGCTCCACTTGCCCAATATAAAGGCCCTTCGCGACAAGATGACTGTCAAATCCCCACCGAGCTTCATCTGGTTACTGGAACTACCTTTAAGTGACTGCGAAGCTTTAAACAAGAGAAGTGGCAGTCTCAGTTGTCAGGGGAAAGGGGATTTTTTATTCATTCTAAATTGCTGTTTTCACAAGCGATTAATTTCAATATAACACCACATTACTTTATTACAAACTGAATATCTGTTCCACGGACAAACTTCGCTATGTCCTTCAGGTGTTCTGCCTGTCCTTCGTTTATATTCCAACACTGGTTGATCCTCGTTTGTAATCTTGACTATAGTAAGCCGGTGGAATCCAAAAATGTTTGCTGGTCAGGAGTGCTTTTAGTTCAACTTGAAAACTCGATACCCACTTAGATTAAAAAGCACTGCAAATGAATGTAAAATCTTTCTTTTTTTACAAGTCCATTAATGAGCACTATTAGAGGACTATATTGAGACACGGTTACTCTCTCGCTAGCAAACATTTTGGCCCCTAAATTCAAGGAGAAGGACAAAGAGAACATCGAAAACCTAAGAAGTCAACTTGAAACAAAGCAGTTAATTCACATAGCCCTCGAAAATATTCTTCTTACATGTTCCATTAACCGCCAACCACTGGTAAAACATTTTGAAAGAGTGAAACAGGAGACAGTGACCTCAGGGGACGTTTTCGAGAAAAATGAAGATATTTTATATGTTTTGGCGATTTAGGATCTGTTGGTAGCTAGAAAAACTTCGCACAGTCATCTATATTGGTCCTACTTACAAACAAAACTAACATTTGGAGTACCCTGGCAATTTAATAGGCTGACGATCGCAATTGTGTAAGTAGAAGATTCATGTTGTGTTGAAAGGTCTGAAACCATTCGAGAACGTCCTCTAAATATCATTAACAGCTTTCCCAAGAAGGGTTTAGACAATGCTTTGTGGTGACCTATTTTGCTATTAAAGTGGTATCCTTGAAATTTAGATGGCTGGCATTTAAAACAATCCACTAATATCGAACACAACAATGGGCACAAACATTAATGGTTGTTCCACAGACAATGGGCCTTTCATAAATAAATGAGCTATTCTACTTAATTATAATTGCCCTATCCCCAAGATTCTGGTCCTGGATCTGCCCTTGATAATGTCTTTTGACGTTGTAAAAATATTTCAGAAAAGAACATGAAATACGAAAAACATGAAATAGGCCTATACTATACACGGAACCCCTCAATGCGATTGTAAGCTCTCAGGACAGAAAAACTTCCAAACTTCAAAAACTGATAGTACATTAATAAGGCTCAACTGGCAAGAGTACATATCTTAAGATTTGCATAATACCATGCGTTAGCTGGTACGGTAAACGTCTTTTTATTTACCTGTAAACAACACATTCAAGAAAGTATCGTTAAAAAGTAGAAAGTTACACTGGACTGTCAAATTGTCGGTAAATTTAGCAAATAGATGTGATAGAGTTGACATGTTGGTCCATTATCGTCCCTACACAGGCTCTAACCAATTTCACTCTAAGCCTATGTTTGAATTACTTCATTGTGCGGCGCATTTGAACATACCTATATGAAATTAGCTCTTTATAAATGAATAATTAATGAATTAATTATTAGTATTACCTCTGTTACGTGCGACTAATTCAAAAGAACCAAAATGAAGTAGGGCACGACAGAGACGAGCATCATGACAGCATAGAAAAGGAAACTAGCAACTATATTTACGGAAATTTATTCAGTTTACATACCACAAATAATAAAGCAATTTAAATCTAGGTTTCCATTTATTTATACAATTAAATAATTACTTACAGGTTGTTGTCGAGGACTTGATTGGGTGCATGCTGTCAAGTTGACTATTGTATTCTGTGCCGGAGGGGCGACTCAGGCACAGCTGGCTGAAGCAATCTGGTCTGGTCCCAGGCCATGTAGGAAGAGCCTCAGAACCGGTCTGGCCCCAGGCCATGTAGGAAGAGCCTCAGAACCAGTCTGGTCCTAGGCCATCTAGGAAGAGCCGCAAAACCGGTTGGTTTGGGCCATCAACTTGAAGGAGAGAGAGTTCAGCGGTGACTCGCTGTCTCTACTTGCAATGCATGTGGCAAGCCGTCACCTTGAAGGAGAAGAGTACAGCGGTGACTAGCTGTCTCTACATGCAATGCATGTGGCAAGCCGTCAACTTGAAGGAGAAGAGTATAGCGGTGACTCACTGTCTCTACGTGCAATGCATGTGGCAAGCTGTTAACTTGAAGAAGAGTACAGCGGTGACTCGCTGTATCTGCAGGCGGTGTATAGCTGTAGGGCTAATTGGACATTGGCTGGAGTGATGAAGGTTGGCGACACCCATCAGTTGAAAAAAAAGAACAGAGCCCCTGGCTGGACGGGTGGCTGTGGTGTGATGAGTGCACCCAAGCATGGTACAACCCACTTCTTAAATACATGTGCACCCAGAAAATAATAAAGGGGCCATTACATAACCGGTCAGCCCACTGGGCAACATCTTAACAAAAGAATACTGGGTACAAAGCACAATACATGGGGTCTGCTGCAGAACAGGTTAGACTTAAAATACCACAAATGTCTAAAGAAAGAATTAAAAAAAAACAGCAGGCGAATTTATAAAGGAAGAAATGTCCCATCTGTAACACCTCGCTAACATGACATAATGATGATCCTCGACACTGTGGCCCTTTTACTTTGCTAGCAAAGATGGTCTTCCATTTCATGTATTATCTTTCACTACTCTATACTCTGTATTACTGTCCCTAGTAGCACTGTCACCTTCACTAGTCAACCATAATCATAACCATTGTCACTAGTTCAGTTTTGCTATTTGACACAACTGAGAGACTGCACATGCATATTGAACACCAATTTCTTAATTAGTATAATGATAATTGGTTTTGCATGCACTATAATTAGTTATGTATGGATTAATTTATTTACGGATTCTTTTGGAAAATCTGAGGCGAGTACGTAGTTGCTCCCTTGATCCCGACCTGATCCAAAGCCTGATAATCTCCGTCACGCGGGTTGAATTGCCCCTGTGTGATGTTTTTAGCATACGTTGTTGAGGAAGTACAGGGACTGAAATGAAGACCGGATGGAATCTTTTCATAGTCGTGTACTTGTACATACTCGGTAGGGGTTGGAGGATCTCGGTCAGGTTTGACCGGACTTAGAGATTCCTGGCCCCCGTCTGGCGTTGATTTTGGACTAGGATGAGGAACAGCGGGAATCTCTGCATAGTCGTAGACATATTTTATGGTGTTTTTTTTTTTTGGTAGTCGTTGTCGTCGTCGTCGTTATCGCCGTTGTTGCTGTTAACCGTAAAAAGTTACCCTGTGGTTCTTTTTATAATCCTGTTGAGCATGCATCTTCAACGATACTGTAAATCCATTTTAACGCAAGATTAGCGAGAAAGGTAAGCGTTTGAAGAGTTGAAAGTGCTCTATACACACTCTAGACTATTGTTACCTAACACATCCCCCTAGAAGTTTGTAAAGAATTCCTGAGATTCCGATCAAACAATGACCAACACAAAGGCGGGGGGGGGTTCTCTCCGTCCCATATCTTGCTTCAAACACCGAATCACTTGGCTGCGGCTTTTAATTACACACAAGTCTATGGTAGTGGCCGTGGCCAGTTCCCATAGAGTTGTGTTTAATTTACGTGGCCCAGTAATTCGGACACGGCCTTAGTTACTTTACCTGGATGTTTTCCACTTGGAGCGTCTTTTCCAACAGGTGAGCTGACAATGAACGCCACCAAGAGGCATAATATCGCCAAGCCTACTCCCAGAGGAATGCCAACGCCAACACCCAATTCGATGGCTGCCGTGTTTGTCTATTTCACCGTTGTCGTTTCTGAGGCGGTCGGTTGGTCATTCTGCATCGTAGTTTTGGGGCCATTTGAACCACAGGTAAATTCTTCATTGAAGACCATATTTTTGGACGAGGTATCATTGTCAGCACAGATGCAGCTAAAATTAGGTGTCCATGCCAAATCTTCAGCAAATAACAAGAACGGGAACAATACAGGACTTTACAGACGCCGACATCATGGGGTTGGAAAATGTATGCAGTCAAACGGGGAGAGTAGCAGAGTGACACCAGCCTGGGCGTAAATCCCGGGGATGGGGGTGTTTCTCTTCCCCTCCCCACTTTTTTAGGTGGGGGCGGGCTATTGAATCATTCCCCCTCACACACTTTTTTGTGATGAGCAAAAAATTAAAGCGGATAGTATAGAATTTACAGGATTTCAAACATCGAAAAAAAATGATCAGTGCTGCAATACTTGACATGTTTTCGACACATTTTTACATCAACTCTCATGTCATTTCCAAACATCATAAAGACTGAGTTTACAAATCTTAGGAGCGTGCGAGGATTTTGTCTTTTAGACAGTTTCACCAAAAATCCGTATAAATGAGCACCACCATTCAGACACCTGGCTGAAGTACCCGTACTATAAGCTATTATCTAGGAAATGGTAAACAGCTTCTTAAATTTTGTTGCCAGTAAATAACTGGCAAATCCCTCTATTTTGTGAAAAAATAACTGTGAGAGAAGAACTGTAAAACAGCAAAATAATCTTTTCAGCTTAGTATGGGAGTATTTCATCAGTAACAGTATTGAAACAGTAACTTTAAGCAGGAAGCCACATCATTTTCTTTGAAAATAGTGAACTAGTGAACTTCAACGCAGCTTCCTGTTGTCTTAACCCTGTAGGTAAATCGGGTATGTGCATAAAAGTCACACTTAGCCTTTGTAATAACGCACGCAATTCCGGAGTCTGTTTCTTGAATTCCTGAAATTCATAAGCCTTTTGCGAGTTAAATTTGAATAAAGTCTGGTACACTGAGTTATCTGATTGCACATATACATAACAATTTAAAGTCCCCATACTAAAGACACTGTTGCTTGACCTCGTGATTCGAGGCAAGCTTTCGCGTGCCAACCATCGTTTCCGTCTATTCTGTACAAAATATTTTATTTCAATCTGAAAAAAGTTTGGACTTTAAAAGTTAGTTCCAATCTCGAAAAATTTTGGCTTTGTAAAGAATCTAGAAAATACGCTGCGTCAATAAAAATTTATTAACTAAAAATTCATTCAAATCTAGAAAATATGTATTAAATCCTTAAAAATACGTTCTGCTTTTGAAAAATCTTTTCAAAATTTCTAAAATACGAATTTGTTAAAAATCACATTCACTTTAAAACACGTTCAATTAAAAAAAATTCTGCAAGTGGCACTTATATGCTTCCGTAAATTTTTTCCTGATTAGAAGCCAACAAATCCTTCATTGGAGTTTGAAATGTTTTTGCGGAAAACGCTGAAGTGGACAAAGAACAGTCGTGCCAAACGGGATTGCTCGTGTGTGCGGGTGTTATCATTCTTGCGCATGCAATAGAATTGGATGGGCAAATACAGCGATTTCTACCAACTTGTCTCTATAGGTCCTTTGCCGGTGAGTTGGGGCTTTTTATTATTCTTTTTTATTATTTCATGGATGTCAGATGTTCTTTTATCGACTGAAGCCCACGGTGGCTATCTTACTATGCCGAAAGCACAAGTGATTTTCCACTAGCGATTCAGTTTGTATTCGGCAACTAAGGCAAGATGGCGGCCGGTGGCTTATTTTGCCTGGGATAATCAGCAAGGCGAGTCCATACTTTTATATGACGTTCATGGTGGACATATGCAGTGAGCTAGGCATTTCCCTTTATGAAGTGTTTGTCACGGTTAGGAGGCATCGTTGCTGAGATAGAAAAAGCTTCTGGGCATGCTGGGAACCAAGCACAGTGAAGAGAGTTCAGGTTAAATTCTTTCATTATCATGTCAATAGCCCGGTCTGACAGAAAATTATTGTTGGTAGTGTTCTGTGAAGAATGTTTCTGGACATAAGCGTAATCATAAGCGTAATATCCTGGGGGGATGGGTCCCCCGCTAGGGGGTTGGCTATTGCGGGAAGAATTTCGCGGACTTCCCAACGACTTAAATGTTTTAATCATCACTTAAAATGGGAAAACAATAAAAAGACCTGAAGATGCCATTCTGGTGTAAGATTTGCATGGATGTAATAATAGACGTACTTCTGTATCATGAACAGCGCCCTCTATGTAGTGTATTATTGTGTCATTCCCCCCTTTCTAAATTTCCATGGCCAGAAAAGGCACCCCCCACAAATCCCAACCCCCCAATTTCCAGCAAAAATTTACGTCACTGAAATTTGAGATCCAACCATAGACTAAGCATTGCTTAACTGAGGGTAACAGTTTATTGGAATTCAGCTTTCAGGATGGGGGTTATTTACCGTTTTTCGCTTCTGGTGTTCGGCGCGTGTTTGGCTGTGGTTGCTGGACGAAACGGTGTTGGACCACCAAGACCAGTAGCATCGCTTAACGACCAACATCAGTACATCTGCTCTCTGTAAGTTTCTGTGACATGTCTGAAATGTGGCTTCTTTACTTTATCCAGAGCACTTTTAACAGTATAGTTTGTGGGTAGAGAACTGGGTTACATGAATGTCGGGTAATCCTAGAAAATGAAGCCCGTTTGGTTTCTGCTTAATGTATACGATCATTAGATTTGACCACAATATGCGCAGTCTTACGTATTTTTTCTCTTATCCAACCATCAATGAGCTCAGTATTTCAAAAAGAGGGTCATTTGAGATCACAACACTCGTGCAAGTCAGTGTAAAAGCCTTGCTGATAAGGCAGACCTTGCTCTTGTTCGCACTTGTTCCCGAATAACTTCGGACGGTCTTCATGTTGGGCAGGCTCTTTTGGAATTGCTTATAATGACTCCTTATTCCCCAGCCCTTTCACCTTGCAGCAACATGATCCCAGGGTCCACACACGGTGATGATAATGGTCACTGTTATGCCCAACTCATTGGAAATCCTGTTCTTATGCACAAGCCAGCTGCATTCAACGTATGTTCCGTACCATTATGTCCGCCCCATTGTGTCCGCAGGCCCATTATGTCCGCCCCATTGTGTCTGCAGGCTCATATGTCCGCCCCATTGTGTCCGCAGGCCCATAATGTCCGCCCCATTGTGTCCGCAGGCCCATAATGTCCGCCCCATTGTGTCTGCAGGATGCGATTGTTAATCAATAAAGTCTAAAGTATTTTTCTTTTTTTCAAAACCTTTCCTTTTTTAAAATTCCTTGCAAGTATTTAAATGTATGCTGTTATTCTTCCACAACGGCTCTGTGTTGGGTTATGTTCCTAATGAAAAATGAAACAATGAAACAAAAGTTTATTTACAGTCAGTACAGTCAGTACAGTTGGTACAATCAGTTCTATGTACATGCAGCTATATATTTTTGGTTCGAATTCCATGAGTTATATTTGATACTTCTGCGCAGGGCGATCTGTTCGTGTTTGACATGCTCAAAACCAATCCAGTATACTGCGGGTTGTTACCGCGGCGTAGACGTGCAGGTACAGGTGCAAGGGAATTCTCGACCGTTGGAGGAAGTGTACATGTACATGTTCGTGTGGTTCATGCTCGCACAGTACATGTAAAACTCAGGATGTATTTAGTTGTTGACATTAGTAAAAGTACAGAAACTGAAACCTGTCAAGCCAGTTCATATTCTGTTAAATGTGTTCTTCAATGTTAATTACCGTTGCAGGTTGAAGCATATCAAGGTTCAGTATTAATTTCACAACTGCAACTGGGGACCCCCTATTGTTCCTCTTTTGTTTTCCTTCAACTCTTTAAAAGACCACCCATACGTTTTGTGCACAATTTTTATTCGGGGACCCTATGTGAATCGGGGACCTTATTGTCCTCTATTGTTCAGGGTCCCCAATTGAATGAAAAACAAACTCACACTTTCTCATAAAAGTGTGAGTTGGGGCGGACATAATGGGCCTGCGGACACAATGGGCCTGCGGACATAATGGGGCTGACATAATGGGCCTGAAAAAGTTTGCGGACATAATGGGCCATACGAACATAATGGTCCGGAACACACGTACCGAAGGTTGAACAACGTGGGTACGAATCACATCTACAGAACATCGAACGAGTCGGTTCGGTGTTCCATGCATTGCGCCTTGTGACAAATCTCTCTTATGTCTTGATATTCATTCGCATTCATTGTTAAATATTTAATTTGCATGTTACATATATGTACAGTTTTTAATAAGTTTTGAAGTTGTTCTTCATTGTTAACGTTACTTTTATTGAGTTTTATTTTTTTTCTCTGTAGATTACCAAACTGCACAACATGGTGTAGTGATTGCACAGACCGTATGGCAATGAATCTCTTTGACTTTCTGAACAACTGTGATGAATGGAAAAATGCTCCTGCCACGGGTTACCAGCGTAAGTGACATTTCTTCCAGCACTTCCTAAATTCTGCATGTTTTTGTCTGAACCAGGGTATAAGCACAGTTTCCAAACCAATGAAAAAATCTGTAGCTTTGAATCTGGGGTCTTATTTCACACAAAGATAGCCTGGCATCGCTGACTCAGTCAGAACTTACACGTAGTCTTCTTTTTTCTTTGTCTCTGTATTGCTCAGAGAAGTTTTCACTTCCCATTTTCGTGCCCTTCAAACAGATGTGTTCCGATGTCGACCTAGCTCGTCCTACGTGGCTTGTATCTGTACTACTGAAGACCCAAATTGTAGAAGATGCGAGTACTCTGTTCAGAATAACCTGGTTTGCTTCTCCCAAGAGAATGGTGACATCCACGTCTGGCCATTCAGCGAAGATGTTGCTGTTACATCAGTTCTCCTGGAGGACATGTGTCCCACCTGCTCCTGCTCAACGTAATCAGATATCCAGTATTCGAAATCAGAATAACAAATGGCTGATCATACATTTTAAAGATACTACGCATGTATATTTCATGTCTGAACGGTGCCAAGCTGCAACACGAGGGGCGAGATAAAACCAGTACAACATCCAATACAATATTGTTGTCAATCAAAATCAATAATGGTTTATTTAGTATCCACCTTTAGCGACACAGGCCTAATTGCGGTTGAATTCAAAACAGCAAAACATTGAAAAGATAGAGCATAAAGTACATTTTTATCGTAGAATGACAGAAAAAATTCCTGATGAAAGCTCATATAAAAGCATAAAAAGAGACTTACAAAAGAAGTTCAAGGAGAAAATAAAATGGAATTGAAACGAAGAGAGACAAGAACAAACATGAAAACGTGACAGAATATTGAAAAATCATGTTATCAAACATTGCCTTCTTGATGTTTGCAGGTGCCCAGTCAACCATTGCCCTTACAATTAAACTGTCTATCGGGGATCAACGCTATTCATCACTAAATTGCATTTCTGTGTTCTTGCATTGTAACGGTAACCTTTTCATGCAGAAAGTGGCCCACAACTCCAAAACTACCTACCACTACAATCGAGCCTCTGTCAACGTTTCACTCTGTTGAACCCAGCATGATTACAGTGGCAGGTACAAAGTTTTATTATGTGTTTGCGTAGCTGTTTACAAATATTTGATAACATACGTTGATACTGTAAAAGTTCTTTTGGAGATTGCTATAATTGTTATAAAGTTAAAACATTTGTATGTAAAAATATGTAACAAAAATGTGTTTTCAGTTAAGTATTCATCACAACAAGTCAGACTCGAAGTGGAAATGTGAGGTCTTATTCGAATACAGAAGCATTTTTCAACAGCTAACCAAACTGATCAAAATTTCTGAGGGTGACATGGTTTGCATGCCAAACAGAGATGTAATGACCTCAGAAAACGGAGCAGCGCCACAAGTGACACATCGAAGTTTGATTGGCAAATTTGAACTACAATTTATAAAAACGAGACAAATACAAACTGTTTGTGTTGTTCCAAAGTTAATAAAGTCACTGAAATCGAAGTTACAAATTAATACCATTGATGCAGATACACTGATATAAAGGTATGCTGTTCTATGAATATACTTGGCAGGTAGAACTGTGATCCTCAATAAGACGGCATCAACCGCTGAAGATGCAACACCTCCTTACATTGTTATTTCGCCGACTATCACTGCAGCTGGAGTCATTGTAATAATCTTTCTCCTAAATGTGGTTAGAAAGTGGCGAAGAAAGCAACGAATCCTTCGAGTTCAACGTCCCACAAACTCACGGTATGAATCTGTAAAATGGTAAACTACTTTGTAGCTCACTAATATTAACTCAGAAAATTTAAATGGTCATTTTGTATCGTGATTTTGTCACTTGTCTGCCCGTTGAATGTACAGATCAATTACATGAAAGTCTTTTTGTCAATTTTCCCTCTCTAATTTAATGATGAATCTTTTCCCGTTTAGAGTTTTCATTTTCATAATTTTCCCTACAGGGCTGAGACAACAAATCGTGTGGCTGAATCTGTCTCCCATCAGGTGAATTTGTTCGGTAAGAAATTACACTCTGGGAAAGCTTTTGCCTTTGATAAGGATGGCGCCGGGTTGACCCGTCGATTTATGCTCACTTAGTTTATGTTATTATTTTGAAATAGCTCAATTAACACATGATTTCCTTTTATCAGTCAAGCTCATACCTGTGTCCTGTTTACATAATTACAAGCAACTTAATTTCGGCTTGCAAGAAGTAATGTTGGAGACGCACAGTACAAGAGGGCGGGCTTTATACAGGAAGTAATATGTAAGCACTGTGTCGGCACTGACATTGCTGCATTGACAAGAGACTTGATCTCACTTGATCAGGATTATCAACACCCAAACTCATAGCTTCATTGTTAAACCTTCTAATGGTTCTTGTGCAAACTTCACCCTTCAACCGTAAGTGTATTGCTGTGGCGTCAGATTTCAACAAAAAAGAGCTCAAACGTACCTACAACGTGATAGCAAGCACCGATGATATGTTCCCTATATTTTCATATCAAACAGGAGTGGACATTGATGGGAGTAACACCTTGCCATTAGGTACCCTGCTGATAACTTCGTTTCTCATGCCTGTTGAAGGCACAGATCCAGACATCAGTAACCACGATTACGAGTGCCCTGATGCAGTTCTTGCGAGGCATCACCGGGTTGTACATGACTATTTAGAGCTTCATGGCAATACTTCGAGCCAGACCAATAATAGCGTGCATTATTATGCTTCTGATAGCAACCTCCCCGCTGGTCCTCCAATGGTACACACTGCTCCACCTAATGATGACTCAACGATTTTTGGTTATGACGACGTTTTTGGTTATGAAAGACATGTAATTCCAAGCCAATTTTATTGATGCAAAACAAAATCAATCTTATGTGAATAAAATGATTTTTGCAAAACGTATCTTGCTAAAAAATGAACCTGTCCCGAGACGGAATAACGAAGTTGGGGCTATTTCAGCATCCGATGGAGGCCAAGAATCTCTTGGTCTAGTCAAACCTGACAGAGATACCCCAGAACCTACCGGGGATTCCCATGACTATGCAGAGGTTACATCTGATTTTCCTCTCAATCCAAAATCAACACCAGCCGGGAGCCAAAAATCTTTAGGTCCAGTCAAACCTGTCCTAGATCCCCCAATATTTACCGAGTTTGTCTATGACTACGCAGGGGTTCAATCCGATCCCCATCCCAGTCCTGAAGCAGGATTAGAAGCGGGTGAGAAATCTCCGGGTAGACCTGACCGAGGTCCCACAATCTCTAACGAGGATGTCCATGACTATGCAGAGGTTCCCTCCAACCCTAATCCCGATCCAGAATCACCATCAGAGGGGGGGTGTAAAAGCTCTACGGCAGGTCAAACTTGACAGAGATGCTCTGGTCTCCATCAAAATGCAGACGTTCCGCCTGTTCCCAATCCCTTCCCTGAATTGCCACTAGACGGGGGCAATAAATCGGCTGGACCAGCTAGGCCTAACAAAGATTCCCCAGTCCCTTTCAGATACGCCCATAACGATACAAATCGAGATTAATTCCCCTCTGGTTCAGATCCCAGTCCCTGCCTCTCCCGAGCGTCTTGTCCTGAGAGCATCACA